TGTTCCCTGTATTGTATTATACATGAACTGAAAAATTATAAGAATTAGCTTTTTACGTTGACTTTGTATAGCACTTTATTTGACTTCTTAGCTTCTAACTGTACTTACTCTATGCTAATCTTGTTATGCTATAGTAAAGGTAAGTAATTTCTTGAAACTTTCCTAAAGATTTATAGGCACATGTTCAGCATTTTTCCTCAGGTTCCTTATACTGTACTTTTGATTTGGTAAAACCTTTTGTTTTATTTTTTCTGTTTAATATGAATATTTCTTCCATAACACTCAGAGGCTATTTGACTTTATATGAAAGATGAAAATGGATTTTTGAAACTTAACATTTATCACTGTTGCAGAGTTCAGTTCTATCATAGTTCGCCTTTTCGTTAATAGGCATCATATATACATTATTTTCCATCTGCTTCAATTTCTTACTTTCCCTTGTAACTTAATACTCAATTTTATAGTTATTATTTAGCATTTTAAAAAAAGGACAAATGTAACTTCAAAACCATGAAAACAGTTGATCATCTTTTTTAAAAATATTTCGCTAATGTAGTTACAATTTGCCTAAAGCTCTTTTTCTAATTGGAACTTAGAATAAAGGAAAGAGAAAAATATATTTGAAATTATAATATAAAAGACATGCTCATGTTATTTTCTGTGAAGAGACTTCCATGGAAAAATGGGTTGAGCCAGCAGAATCCTGTACATACTTGTTTTAAAGAAAGACCTATTATATTTAGCAATGTATCAAAATGGAAATCATTGCAATATAGACAAAAATAATCATATCAATTATCTATATAATCACTTTTCTTCAGATATTACTAGAATAACATAAATAGCAGCTATATTGTTGTTCATGCACCATTTTGGTAATATAGGATTCATAATGTTTTGGATATTCAGAAAAGTGTAGGAAATAAAGACTTTTTTTCTTGCATTCTACTTCTTGTGCTTTAATATATACTTTTCAAAATAAAGCTTTGCAGTAAGATATCTAGGATGTTCATGAGGACAGAAAAGGAATGGCAGAAGTTCTTTCATGTATTACATTTGGAAATATATGGGAGGCAGGTTCTTATTTTCCTGTTCCCAAAGTTTATGTATATATATATGTAGCCATTTTGACATAAAGCCCGTGCTAAGTTAGAAGATAATGGTATACAATATATTAAAAAGGAAATGCTAACTAGTAACAGCTTCTTATTAGATGGGGTTTCAGCTAAAAAAAATCTGTGAAACTCATTTTATTCCATTTCATCACTGCTTCTATGGAGAGAAGATAAAATTTCATAATATTAATTTAATAATTTGATGAGTGGTAAACTGATAATTCAGTTCTACAATAAGATTCTTCCAAACAGTCGAGAGATTTGTCATTTTAACCGTAGCTGAATTATCATACAAGTTTCAGCTGCATTGTCATTATACATTCTTTTATTTTGTCCCTGCAGTAGCTTCACTATAAATGGGCTTAATGATGAACTTAACGTTAGGTATGAATTTCCCCAGACTGCTTGCCTTCCCTTGGCAAAAGATAGATAAGGTTCCTTGGAACTTGAAGCAGGATAGGAGTTTATCAGTCCTGGATCTCTTACAGCTGTTCAGTGACTCAAAGCTAACTCTCTGCTTGATTCCTCCCTTGCCTAGCTGGGCAATTCCCAATAAAAAAGCAGATTCGAGATTGCAACTTGATTTAACTATTACTATTCTAAGGGACTGTTTTCCATTTGCAAACATCTGTTCTAGAGTGTGGGAATCCTTCTGTTTTTATATTGTGTTCAAAAACTCTTGATTTCCACTTTGTTATTGTCATTAACATCTCATTTTCTGTGTTGTATGATCATATTGTGATCATGATAAAATTTATCATTTCCCAGACTATTCCATGTTTTATCCTTATATTTTTCCTGATAGGTCTCTGGGGTAAACTCTTTTGATATTGGTCAATTATTTTTTTCACTTGTGCAACCAAGCCATTAAAAAAATGACACTATCCATCCCAAACGACCGACCTCCCTTCTCACGCTTCACAGACACAAACAAACACATTCATACAGTGCAGACATGTATTATTTAAGAATTTTGTTTATAGTAGATCTAGGATACAGAAACCAACTTGTTAGCTTTTATTATTACTTTGATTTCAGTCATTCTAGGAAAGTTAGGGGGGCAGTAAATCTGAGCCAATTTTCTAATTGAAACTATGATGTGTAATGATGGCAGGAAAGTTTGTGTTGTTTTGTGTTGTTTTTTTTAATGTAATTTTTTTTGAGGAAAGGACAATCATAAGCCACTGTAGGTTAGAACATTGGCTTAAGTTATTTAATTGCAATAAATAGATTTATGTTAATGGCATAAATTCAGGCTGAGGTAGATGTATCTTTGGGGCAAGCTGCTGCGGAACAGAAGAGAGGCGTTTAGTTTTTTTTTAAGTCCATAAATTATTTCATCATTATATAAGATATCCTAAATGTGCTTTTTCAGAGGGCAACTGGATTTTTTTTCCTTGAGGAAGAAGAACAAAACATTTTGCTTCTCGTCCACCAGTTTCATCAGTTGTGTTGGCAGGGCAGGGGTAAATGGAAAGATAGGTATAACAGTTGAGATTGGATGGTGGGGGGGGGTTGGAACAATAAGTTCTGACCGAATGGTTGCGGTGGATGAAATGAAAGGGTTGTATTTCTTTGGTCTTTAGCACTCTCCCTGAGAGTTCTTGAGGCCACTTGGAGGTTTATCTTTGCCCAACACAACCTTTGCAGAATTTCAAGATTTCACAACCAATTGCACTCCAATTCAGATGATCCTGAGGGCAAAGATAAACCCCCAAGTGGCCTCAAGAGCTCTCAGAGTGCTAATGACCAGATGACTGCAAAGAAATACAATCCTTATGTTCTCCACCACCACCACCCAGTCAAAACCTATCCTTCCATCCCCCCACTCACCCAGTCTCAATGTCAGTACTTATCCTTCCATCCCCCACACCCATGCTATCACAAATGACGAAGCTTCTTGGGTGAGAAGAAAAACAACTTCTTCCTCAGGGAAAAAAGTTCAGTTGCCTTTTGAAAAAGCATCTTTGAGACAACTCTGTCCTGGATGACTGAGAATCTTCACAGACATTATATAAGGTACAATTTTGTACTCAGAAGTAGCTGCAGGACCACACAGGTCTCATTATTTTAACCTCAATAATTGTTTGCTCCCTCATTACTTTTCATGTTAAATGTTCTTCACTGACAAGCAAGAAGCAATATTATAAGTTGCTTCTTTTCTTTTTAGAAGAAACAAATATTTGGAAATTTTAGGCTGTGCAATTAATAGCGCATGCAAAAGTTTTATTCCCTCATTCAGAGATCTTTGAAAAATGTGATATTCTCCAGTCCCTCTCAACAAAATACAGCCTAGCAAGAAACAATCCCACTGAGTATCATTATTTAGAACTATTGTCAAGAAATTAAGAGATTCATAGAATCATAAAGTTAGAAGGCATTGTGGTCTTCTAATACAATCCCCTGTCCAGAGCAAGAATCCTCATATCACCCTAGGTAAATTAACTGCCCAATTTTTTTTTCATAAACTCCAGTGGTAGAATACCCACAACTCTTCACTGTTAAAAAACTCTCACAATGAGAAAAGTACTTTTGATTTCAAGTTTGGATCCCCCTCTGCAAAACTTCTACACATTGATCCTTATCCTATTCTCAAGTAAATCCAAACTCTTTCCCCAATGATAGTACTTTGTATTTGCTAACATACTTTCTTTAAGCTAAACATACCCAGTTTAGAATATGTTTTGGTTAATCTTCATGCATAATGTAGACATGGTACAGAATAATATCATATGCAGAATCTTGGAAACAAAATAAATCAAGTGCCAGCAATTATTTATTGTTCATTAGCTAGAGCCTCTGAGAACCACTTGAACCTATTGTTTCCAGCAGTGCCTCCCAACTAATTTATTAAGAATCAAAAAAGATGTTATGTTTCTCAAAAATCCTCTGTAAAAACATTCTGATTAACTTCTTTACAACGGGCCTGCTGATAAATAATAATACAATAGTCCTCCCTTAAAAACAATAATTAGGAACAGAATTTTCATTGCTAAGTGATGAAGACATAAAGCATGATGTCACGTGACCATGTTGCTTAGGAACGGCAATTCCAGCAGGCCCCAGTTACATTATTAAGTGAATTACTGCAGGTTGTTAAGTGAGTACTTCATGTGACCATGACTTCTGACTTAACGGTTGGCTTCTTCAATGACTTTGCTTGTGGAAAACCAGAAGGGAAGGTCACAAATCATAATCATGATTGTGGACACCACAATCTGGGCTAGTTGCTAAGTACCCAGACCATATGCCTGCAGGGGTATTGTGCTGCCCAGAATTTTGAGGACTACTTGTAAGTACCACTTGTTCAGCACCATCTTAAATTCAGTCACTGAACAAGTGGTCATTAACCAAGAGCCACCTGTATAGCCTAAGCAGATATCACATTTAAGACAAAACAATAACATTAACGTTTTGAAGAAATTTGTGCTTAAGAAATAATTGATCAAGTTATGAAACAGCTAAAAATGTTAAGTACAGTGTTTATCTTGTCCTTTTTTTAAATGATCTATTACAATCAGCTTAAGTGTCTCCAACAGTATTTTATTTCTGTATTTCTTATTTGAAGTAAAATATATATTTCATTACATTTTTCTCCTAATATGTTTGTAGTAAAGGTAAAGCATAATTGAAATTGAATATATATATTTAAATTATTACAATTCAACTGTAAACAAAATTTGTATCCTATACATTGGTTTAGTTTCTCTTGTTTATATTTAATTCAAACTGTTAAGCAACAGTTTGTTAAATATAAGTTGTGTAAAAAGATTTTTAAAAATGAACACAGCCTCTATCTCCAGGTCCCAGGAGCTTGCCCACTATATTCCTATGTCACTTTATAATGTTTGTTCTGCTTCATCAGTTCTGTCCTTCTTTCTACAGGTCCAATCCAGGTGCAGCAGTAAGGAGAACATCCTCCGAGCCAGTAAGTGTTGCATCTTTGTATTCTTCTAGTGGAATATAATACCTTCATGATGAGGTATAGTTTTGCTGGAAAGAATTTGGTGGAACCATAGAAAGCGATGCAACTGGACATTTTTTAAAACTATTTTTCTAGGCTTTTCTGTCTGCAGAAAACACATGGGTATATGTGAAGAGATCTCAGTAGCCAGACTAAAGGATATGCAAAATACTGTATCCAGTGATCATGGAGAGATGTTCTATGATTTGCACATTTGTAAAGCCATGATTAAAATATATACTAAAATGTAAAATAAATATTTTGTAAAGGTATGTCTGCCCATCAGGATATGTAGCACAAGAGGAGGAGGAAGCTAGTTAACAGTTTTCTGTTTTCAGGCTAGAGAGAACTGGAGAAATACAGTTTTATGTTACATGCAGAAACCTTGGACTCATACATTTCTGATCTCTCAAGCAAACCAGAAACTAACATTTATTTTCAGTAAGCTGCATTTTAATTATATGTATTAACAATAAACTGATTAATTTTAATTAAGATTTACTGAACCAAGTTGCTTCATTGTTGTATTTAATGCAGTCATTAAAACAGATTGTCAATAATGATAAACTTTGACTAGTTAATGCTAAACTATGACAAATTTATATATGTGTGAACGCATTAGAATGGACCCATGAAACAGTCATGTGTTACCCAGATTATTGAATTAAATAATTTATATAAAGCTAATTATTTTTAGCTTTGTGACTAGCAATCTTTTTATTCATTCTTATTAGTTAATGCTTCTGTTTTCACTGTTTTGCTTTATAATTTATTATTTTAGTTGTTTTTTTATTAAATCAGTTTGTGATAAATATCATAGAATATAATTGTTAAAGTTTGGATCACTGAATCTCTATAATAAAAGATATAGGGAAAGGGAAAGTTGAAAAATTAGAAATAGAATTCCTAAAAGAAAATTCTTATTGTCTGAGCAAAGTGTTAGAAGTTTAAACCTAGTCTAGAAATACAACCTTCATAGGTTGTATACATAGCTGACATATGCTTCAAATATTTAGTGTAGAATATTCAAACATATTCCTTACAATCAAAGTGAAATGTAATGACCAGCTGCACCAACACAATGAGATCTCTTTTATGTTAATATAGTAAATGCAAGAAAGTAATCACAAATAATCAATGACAGATAATTTCAAGAAAGAAGATACAAATAATCAATTTTCAAAGTATTTATGAAATACTATTAATATAGATAATAAAAGGTGACCAAATTTGAGTAATTTCACCATAAGGTTTTTCAAACTTCTTTCTTGTGTCTTTTTTTAGACAGAGCTGCTTCCCAAATTTGTAAATCATGCATCTAGTGAAAAAGTATAATAATAATAGTAGTAGTAGTAGTAGTAGTAGTAGTAGTAGTAGTAGTAGTAATAATAATAATAATAATAATAATAAAGTTGAAAGGATCTTGGAGGTCATCTAGTCCAACCCCCTGCTCAGGCAGGAAACCCTATACCATTTCGGACAAATGGCTGTCCAGTCTCTTCTTAAAAACTTCCAGTGTTGGAGCATTCACCGCTTCTGGAGACAGGTTGTTCCACTAGTTAATCATTCTAACTGTCAGGAAGTTTCTTATTAGTTCTAGGTTGCTTCTCTCCTTGATTAGTTTCCATCTGTTGCTTCTTGTCCTGCCTTCAGGCGCTTTGAAAAATAGCTTGACTTCCTCTTCTTTGTGGCAGCCCCTGAGATATTGGAACACTGCTATCATGTCCCTCCTCATCCTCTTCATTAAACTAGACATACCCAATTCCAGCCACCGTTCCTTATATGCTTTAGCCTCCAGTCCCCTAATCATCTTTGTTGCTCTTCTCTGTACTCTTTCTAGAGTCTCAACATCTTTTTTACATTCTAATTTTCAGTCTTTTATTGTAACAAATCCAGCATCATTGCATCACAAGAACTGAAAAAATTGTGTATGTTACATTAATATTAGCTATAGATATAGCTAATGTCTTAGGAAATATTGCAAAAAACTAAGAACATGATTTATATAAAAGTTAGTTAATTTTATAGCCTGTCTTTATAGTCAAGCATCCTGACTTCTCATTGATCTTTAGCAATTGGTGCAGGTTGATGAGTTCTGGTTTCGATTATTTTTTGTGCCCAATCTGGATTGGTCATTTCAGTGGTCTTGGTTTCAGATTGGTCTTTTGTTCATGCCAGTTTCTGGTTGGTCATTTTTGGAATCCTAATTCCTGATTGTTTTTTTTTTTTTTAATTTGTCCTGGCTTTCTTGTCCAAACAAGTGCTGATTTGTCCATTGCCAGTCACTAAACTCTGAAACCTAACACTGTCAAACAAATAGCATACACCAGTATAATTATCAATTATTCTTATTGAATTTATTAGTTGCTCAACTCCAATAGATTCTGGGTAAATTGAATAATTCTCTCAATTTCTTCAAAAAATTATACCAAAAGGGCTGCATTTCTATGATAAAATATAATATATACCCAATTTACATACTGATTAAAATCCTTCCATGTGAACTCAAAAGATTACAATCTATGTCAATGGTAGCGAACCTTTGGCACGGGTGCCAGAAGTGGCACTCAGAGCCCTCTCTGTGGGCACACATGCTGTTTCCCCAACCTTGCCTCCCCCCACAACCTCCTCTTCTCCAGCAGCCCCCTGAAGGAGAGTTGCCCTCAAGCATGGCCCACACGGAGCAGCGCAGCGAAGGACATGGCAGCCAGGCAGCATAGACAAGACTCTGCCCTTACACCCCATCATGCAGTTGATGCTGCAGGGCGCAGGCAGAGGTGTGGCTGCCATAGCGCTGCTGGGCTGCGTAGGTGATCTGCAGTGGGCCCTGGAGGTGGTGAGTGATACTGTGGGCAGGCGGGGGGGTGGGGGGGGCATAGCAGGGTGGGGAGTGGAGCGAGGGCGGGGCCAGTTTTTGGGCACTCGGTCTCTAAAAGGTTCGCCATCACTGATCTATGTAGTACAGTTTTACTGGAGTATAATTCAGTATGAATTATCTTCATGGTGGCCTGCCGAAATTGATAAATAGAATTTTATGTTGCTAAATATGGAGGTGACAGTCATTAATGTTAAATCCTCAATCATCTTCCTGTTTTTCTTAAACTTTCAAGAACTCTTATCAAAATTTGTTATTCTTAGTATATGAGTTTTATGTAAGAAATTTTTATATACTGCCTCTCTCCGATTATATCTGCCCGTCCCACCAGATCTGGCAAAGAAGGCATGCTGTAGGTCCCATTTGTCAGGGAACATCACTTTTCTGTTGTAGCGTCTGCCTTAAGGAAACTCCCCCCAAAAGTAAGGTTAACTTCATCCCCCTTAACATTGTGCCGATTCCTTAAAACCTGGCTATGCCTTCAGGTCTCAGAAGACCAGGGAGATTTTGCAATGACCCAATTACTGTAGCTTACATCATTCTCACTAACTAATGATCAGTTATCAACAATTGCTAAGAATTACATGAAACTATACTTCTAACAAAGATTGCCAACTGTAACCCAAGATTCTCACAAGCCGACTCCAGATCATACAGTACAATATACAAAGCTAGAGCCTTTTCCAAAATGCAAGCAGGATCAAAGTATCTGGAACAGGAGGGAAAAGCTCCTGCACAGGGCAGGCACAGCAACAGAGTAGGCATGTCTCCTGAATCTCCTGAGGACACTGCTTAAATGATGGAAGGATGCCCACCCTGTCAGATTTTAATTGTTTTTACTTACAGTATATGATAAATAAATGCAGGAGAAGGTCCTTCCAGAGTGCCCTAAAGTGAAAGAAAATAGACATCTGAGATGAAGGAACTGAAACTCTTAATTACATTAGCTATACAGTTTGATCTAGTAGCTAAGACACCAAACTAAAAACCAGCAGACTATGAGTTTTATTCCTGTCTTAGGTTGGGTGACTTGGGCCAGGTACAACTCATTTCACAGTGTATGAAAATTAGGATGAGAAAGGAGTATTGTGTATGTTTGCTTCCTTGAGTTAAAAATCTAAAACAAAAAACCAAGCAGGCTGTATTCAGCTTAAGTAAATGGAAGAGTTTTCATTTAAGCAAGATTTGGGAAGTTATCTTAGAAAAATCTTTTCTGAATAATATATAATTCCAAAAGAAAGCAGAGCTTTTCCCCATAGAATTGGAAAGTATTTTCACCTGAATAGTAGAATAAGGATGGATCCTTTGAAAAATACATTTTGTAAATAATATTATTTTAATATGCGTTTTAGTTTGATGTGCTAACCATGGTTTCTAATGAGTTCTACAACTGTTTGATGCATAGCCTTTAAGCATTCCTAAATTGGGTAACATTTTCTGTGAAAAAAATATAAAATGATCAAGCATCATGCAGTCGTCTTTCCATTGTAAATTGTTGTAGTCCTGAGTCAAATTAGATGCAATTTTATAACAATTTTTATGGTGATCGTTAAACAAATCATTATGCAAATCCAACTTCCCCAAAGGGCACTTTTGCCGGAAATCAGCAAAAAGGTCACAAATCATGATCAGGTGCCCTCAGGACACTGCAACCAGTTGCAAATCCAAGCTGGTTACCAAGGTCCAAATAGCGATCATGTGACCATAAAGGGAATTGTGATGGTCATAAAGTACAGGTACAAGTTGTAACTCACTTTTTCTGAGGCCATCGTAATTTCATGGAGTTGTAAATCAAGGACTACTCGTATCTACAGTTTATTAATCTATCCAGGAAAATATTAATTGTGTTATTTATTAAAAATTAATTATAACTTTAATGCTTCTTTGCAGGTCACAGTGCCGTAGACATTACAAAAGTAGCAAGAAGACATCGTATGTCTCCATTTCCATTAACATCTATGGACAAAGCCTTCATTACAGTTCTGGAGATGACTCCAGTGCTTGGAACAGAAATAATCAATTATCGAGGTATTTAGTATCAGTTCTGGCATCCAGGAGAAGAATAAAAAGAGAACTGTTTCATTTTCATTACATTTATTAGGACTGAGCAAATACTTGGAAAGGTGTGCTTCACAATGCACAGAAATGTACCTCTCTCTGAATCATTAAAGCAGCCATGGTTTTTTTCTAGACCTCCACAGCTGTAATGTCAACAGTTTCTGTTTGTTTGCTCAGTACAGATCTGCTGGCACAGCCCTCTATGTGGAAATAGCCAGAATTAACTTACAAATAGGGCTGCTTTAATGATTTGGAGAAAGATATTTCGTGCATAAGCTTGCATATTGCAAAGTAACTGTTTGAAAGGATTTGCACAGCCCTAGTTTTTATATTTTAAGTTATGCATAACTTATTAGAATGTTTAGAATGTTCATAGCAACAATTCCCTTGGGTTGGATAACTTCCTACTACTTATAGAAGAGCTGAATCCAAGAGATAATGGCTTGTATAATGTCTGGAATTTACCTAATGAATTCATAGCAAAAATGTAGTTTACTTTAGATTTCCATTCTAGCAGGAAAATGGCTCAGGTAAAAAAAAAAGATAGGGAAATAAAAACTGAAATCTGGAACAAAGACTGTTTTGTTACCTGAAGAACAACAGAAGCAGCAGTAATTTATTATATTTGTATTGTGAGAATGAAACTACATATATTATCTAGTTGCTGCTTGGTAAAGTTTTAGCTAAAACATTTGTTTATGTCACAAGAAGTGTGTAGTAATACTATTTTCACAGCAAAAACTCCAGACTGAAGAAGAATCACAATAACAAACACAGTTATTAATCATACTTACCATCAGTTTCTTTCCCTGCTGCATGTCAAGTAAAAAAGAGAGTAAGTTGTACATTTATTTGGCATCCATGACTATGTTATAGGAAGTCGCTTCCCAACAATCTGTCTAATAATATTTAGCAAAAAATGAAATAATACCGTACATGTACAGATTATCAAAACAGATACTGCATACATAACTTTACATAACATTACTATATACCAGAGTAATACTGTATCCCTCTCATATATTCCCCTAAATTCAAGAAAGCAGCCTAAATCAATATAAGCAAAGTATTTTGAAAGGCTGCACTAGAAGTCCTTAATTTACAACCACAGTTGAGACCACAATTTGGGTCATACGTCATTGCAACTGTCATGCAAGATGTCCATATGAGTGCCTTGCTCAATGATCACAGTCCCAGCTCACTGTTTTGGTCATTATGTGACCACACAGGGATGCCTCGGGTGGGGGAGGCCCTGGGAGACCCACTGGTTCACAGGTCTTTCCCTCTCCCCATCACACCCAGAAGGCTTAGGCTCCCCCTGCCCCATCACTCTCCTGGAACATTTGGGCTCTCCTCTCTCCCAAGACCCTGGGTCTTCTCTAGATTCACTACTGGAGCACTTCACTGCTGGTCCTTATCTCCTGCCCTACCACTGGCACTTGTTCCCCAACCTGCCATTGGTGCTTGCAATGTTTCCAAACATAGAGAGAGCCTTAGAACATTGCAAGAGGAGCACCAGCCCTCGCAATGTTTTCAAAGGCTAGAAAGAGCCTCAAAAACGTCTCAAGATAAACACCAGACTTCACAATGTTCCAAGGATCTTTCTACCTTCAGAAACATGACATTTACTAGCTTTCTACAGTACCTGCGCCTCACTTCTCAATAGCTGCACAAAAAGGGAAGGAAAGTAGACCTGTATAGTTGGATGGGGAAAAGGCCTAAGCCTTCCATGAGGGAGATTGGAGAATGATAGTTCTCAAGATATATTTTGGTCTTTGAATTTATAAACTTATAAAATAACTGACTAAAGATCAGGATTTTTGGAAGTCAAAACATTTTGCAAATATATCATCATACAGAAAAATCCATATTGTTATATTACTGTTCTACTTTTAGTCTAGTTACAATAGCCAGTATTCTTTTTTCTGAATGGTGGTTTTTTTTTCAATATTTTAATTTTTTAAAAAAAACAAAATTGTGGTATGTCTCCATGCCTCTTCACAGATTATTGAGAATAAAATTAGAAAGGGAAATATTCAAAATTTCCTTGAAAAGAATATGGGCACGCTTAAATAGAGAAGTCAGAACTCATTTTATATTAGCTATTTTTAGCACTATGCATTTAGTTCTATGCATCTCCCTTACTCTGGCTGGCAAACTGTAGAAATTTTTCTAAATTATAAATTTTGATAAACTTGAAAGAGTTTTTTGAAAATAAAGTTTTTTGCTATCAGAATTTCATGTATGCTCTCTTTTTTTCCCTGTGTTTATGTATTAGATGGAATGGGCAGAGTCCTTGCCCAAGATGTTTACGCAAAAGACAACCTTCCACCTTTTCCAGCTTCAGTAAAAGATGGCTATGCTGTCAGAGGTGAATGTTAACTATTTTGAATATGACAGGATGCTTTTTTCCAGTTCAGTATCACAGCAGAGTGCTTGTTTTTATATGTTGCCTGAAAAAGCAGACCCACTAGCCCGCAACAGCATTTTAGTCCTTATCTTAATGAAATTCATTCATACTTACAGCGTGTATATTTAAAAATAGGCTTCATTTATCATTACACAATATAAATTGGAAGTGATATTACAAATCATTTAGTTTGCTTATTTCTATTTTTTTATTTATAATAAAGTTATTTTTTTAAAAGAACAGTGCTGAAAAAAAAATTATCCATCTGTCCCATTAAATGATTTTAACTATTATTGTAGTAATATGGCCTTTAGTTGTTTCCTTTTGTTTTTAAGATTTCAGGATAATTTCATTGAGAGAAAAGTGTGTCACTGAATAAAAAATATCTAGTATATTCTGTGCAAAGCAAAAATCTATGATCCATAGACTTTTCATTCTGGCTGGTTCTCAGCGAAGCATTCTGGGCATTCTTTTCATTTCCCACCACCCCCTTTTGCTTTCCTAAAACATTCTCCATAGACCTAAGAAATCCTCATGAAAAGATTGGGTGTGGTTCAGGTACTGTATGAGGAGGACTGAGCAACAATCAAATTTTCAGCATATGCTCTATTCCATGGTAGCCTCACCCCAGATCATTTCTGGTTTATTGGCTGGACATATCAATAAAAATATGGCATGATGATAATGTTCTAATAAGATGTTTACCTATATATTATTTTTGCCTTTTGTCATAAGTAAAAAATAATTTTGCTCCCAGAAAGTAAATCCAAGGAACATTTCTGTAAGAAATCTTAGAAGGGAGTGACGCTAAGATGTTTATGTAAAGCAGAATGTATAATGTATCTTATGTAGTAAGTTGTCTTGTACAGTTATGTTGTATATTAGGAAAGTGGTCAAATTAAAATTGTTATCCTAAAATATGTGTGGTAGAAGGAATTATAAAGTTGGAAATAGCCATAACAAAAGTAATAAGCCTGATAATGCATATTTTGTTGATAACTGTAATTATCATGAACCTATATTAACTTTTAGCTGCTGATGGACCAGGGGATCGTTTCATCATTGGGGAATCCCAAGCTGGTGAGCAAGTAGGTACAATATATTTTGCTTCCGTTTTCTACTTTTTGTTCATTTATTATGAACTAGAATAATCTTGAAAAATAACATGAAACCATTCCAATGACTATTGTAAACAACACAAAGGCTATATGAATTATGGCATTTCTATAATTATACATTTTAATGTGGTGATAGTTTCCTCCATGCATATAAAATCTAGCAACAGTAGTAATAGAAAAGTTATTTATCATCTGCCAATAAATAAGTTCCTATGTACATGAAATAAAAAGGCAATCAGCATGTTTATTACAGTCATTGGCACAAATTCCAAAATTTAAAGAAATGAAACAAATAATGCAAAGCAGTTGTAAAATCACACAACAAAATAAGGAGCCTGTAGATTAAAAGTTAGTAAAATCAACATCTATTCTTTCAAATTAGTAGGATATTTATTTATGGCTTCACTAAAGGCATAAGAAAAGAAGAGTCTTAAGTTCTTGTGAGATCTATAGCATGAACATTCTCTTGTCTTGTAAACATCTAGCTCTTTTAACACTCCATTTCCTCAAGTCCAACAAGTTTAAATTGTTCCCAGGCAAATCAACCTAATGGGTGTACCTCCCTTCCAGTGGGTAGTTGTACTAGAGAATCCCATAGAAATCAAAGCAAAGGAGACATTGAGAGGATTCCCAATCTCAGATTACATTGCCACTGCTGTGATAGGAAGACCAAATCCGAAGTGTGATCACTGTCTCAAGTCAGACTCTGGATGATCTGGGATAGACCCATGACTATCATGGAACCCATGAACTCCCAAGCACCTCAGACCCATTCCTAGGGAAGGTAGATTAAAGCCCTAGAACCATGAAGTTTCTCCAGAATGCCACTGCCAATCAAGAAATGGAACTCAGACAGGGAGGTTGCTATGCAGCAAGGAGGTTGGTGTAACAGCAAAAGTTCCAAGTGAACCTTAGAAGTCAAATAATGAACAGGCTCTCACCACCAGGAACCTATGTGGCAGGACCCCGAAAGCCATAAAGATTCTCTGTTGAAAACTGCCACTCCCCACCCCCACTCAAGAGTCTTGGTTGATGCCACACTCAAAATACAGCTTGGCAAATTTCAGAAAGGACAGAACACATCCAGATCTTGCTAATAATAATAGGTTGGCTTCTTATCCATGATCAAATTATAGATGGGGGGCACTGGAATGTAGAACTGTTATGAGACAACAGTTTGCCAGTTCTTGATCACTCAGAATTTTCAGGGGATAAAAAGGAACGGAAGTGTATTTTTTATGCACTGTATTTGAAAGCTTCTACCGCAGTCAGTTATTTTTTTTTTAAGATGAAATAGAAGAGAAGAATAAATTAACACACTTTGTATATGTGTTTCCCAGAATAAAGTGCTGGACTCAAAATAAACTTCTTCTCTCAGTTCCTCCTTCCAAAAATTCCCTTTTTACAGCCCTAAAATCTCTTAATTCTGGATAGTATATTTATTCATTAACATCCTGAATTAAACAGCAAAGGTTAATGCAATTTTGTTATAGTTTTTGTTGTCCTATTAAACTAATGAAGAAAATATCTGTAATCCAAAATTTTAAAATATGTTTCATATATTTTAAGTTTCTAAAATTTTAAAAATAAATTGACAATTTTTGGTATTTTTTTAGCCAACTCAAACTGTAATGCCTGGTCAAGTAATGCGAGTTACAACTGGTGCTCCAATACCCTGTGGTGCTGATGCTGTGGTGCAAGTGGAAGATACAGAACTTATCAGGGAATCTGATGATGTGAGTGCTATCAAAACATTCGTATATCTTTAGGAGTCCAGCTCCAAGGAATAATCCATCAGTCTGTAACCCTACTACATAGATAAAAACCTGCATTTGCACATTTGAAACAAAAAACAGTATCAGCAGTTGTAAGGTCTCGAGATTGTAGACCATATATGAGAAGGAGCTGCATACATCAATGGAACTGCATCTATATGGAGGGAAGTGTGTAGTGGGGTGCCCCAGGGCTCTATTCTGGGCCCAGTACTCTTCAACATCTTCATCAACGATTTGGATGAAGGGATAAATGGGGAACTCATCAAATTTGCAGACGACACCAAGCTGGCAGGAATAGCCAACACTCCAGAAGACAGGCTTAAGATACAGAAGGATCTGGACAGACTTGAACACTGGGCACTAACTAACAAAATGAAATTCAATGGTGAAAAAAGCAAGGTTCTACATTTAGGCAAGAAAAACCAAACGCACAAGTACAGCATAAGTGGCACCGTGCTCAATAGTAGTAACTGTGAGAGGGACCTCGGAGTCCTAGTAGACAATCACCTAAATATGAGCCAGCAGTGTGCTGCAGCTGCCAAAAAGGCCAACACAGTGCTAGGCTGCATTAACAGAGGGATAGAATCAAGATCACGTGAAGTATTAAGACCACTCTTCAATGCCTTGGTAAGGCCACACTTGGAATACTGCATCCAGTTTTGGTCACCACGATGCTAAAAAGAGGTTGAGACTCTAGAAAGAGTACAGAGAAGAGCAACAAAAATGATTAGGGGACTGGAGGCTAAAACATATAAGGAACAGTTGCTAGAATTGGGTATGTCTAGTTTAACGAAGAGAAGGACAAGGGGGGACATGATAGCAGTATTCCAATATCTCAGGGGCTGCCATAAAGAAGAGGGACTTAAGCTATTTTCGAAAGCACCTGAAGGGAGGACAAGAAGCAACGGGTGGAAACTAATCAAGGAGAGAAGCAACCTAGAACTAAGGAGAAACTTCCTGACAGTGAGAACAATTAATCAGTGGAACAGCTTGCCTCCAGAAGCAGTAAATGCTCCAACACTGGAAGTTTTTAAGAAGAGACTGGACAGCCACCTGTCCGAAATGGTGTAGGGTTTCCTGCCCGAGCAGGGGGTTGGACTAGATGACCTCCAAGGTCCCTTCCAACTTTACTACTATTACTATTACATATGAAAAACAACAACATATAAATAATCGTAAATAAATAAATATGTACAAAATTAACTTTTGAGACAAAGGGGAAATAATTCCCCACTTCCCTCAGAACATTTTCAGTTGGCTGTATTCTAATGGAACAAACCTTAAAATGGCTTAAATTCCAGCCATAGAAAACAACGGGAATTCAGAAACAACTTCTAGTTCCCTACATTAGAATCTTAGACAAAAGATAAGTGATTCCCCTCTTCCCTTATCCCCCCCCCAAACACACAAGAAACAATGGGTGGCAGCTCATGCTGACTCCCATTAAACTGATAAAATATTTGAACAAAAGGAGAATTTTTAAAATAGTTTGAAAAGCATTAAATGAAAGGAATTTGTAATAATTACCTAAGAAATTAAAAATCATCTCATTGGGAGTTTTTGTGAATTCATTGGTAATTAGCACTTATTATGGACTAACACTTCACCCTATCTATTTAATAGGTAAACTCAAGAACTAGAATTGTGTCCTTATAATCACCCAGTTTCATAGATGTAGGCCCAGCAAAAAGCAATTTCTTCATTGCTCTTTGCTAGTATTATTTGGCTACTTGTGTTTTGTGTCTGCAAAAAAAAAATAAGTTGCTCTTTTACTTTTGCATGAAATAATTACATTCCAATAGTAAAACAATGCTCAAGTTCTACAAATAATCAAAATTAGCATTTGCAAGGGCAATTCAGAAATAAACCTTCATTTGGTTATCAATGACAGACACTCGCAGATACAGAACTTTTATTGTACACATTAAAATACTACAAAATTACATTACTTTTTGACATAATTGCCATTCAAATTGAGGCACTTGTCATAATGTAGTCGCTCGGTGCCAAATTATTTAGTAGTAGTCGCTCAGTGCCAAATCTGGGCTATATGGAGGTGATCAAAAACATCCCAACTGCTTCAAAAGGTCTTGGGTGCATCTAACGGTGTGCAGGCGAGCATTATTGTGAACCAACACTACACCAAAAGTGCCATAGAAAATCCCACCAAATGTGAAGATGCCAAAAGAATACTGCTAGTGAAGTTCATGGAATGTGGTTCAGCCATCAATTCAGAAGTCTACTGCAAAATATTACTAAAACTCAGACGAGCCATCCATAACAAGCATCCAGGCATGCTGACTTCCAATGTTGGTTTACGATAATGCTCACCTGTGCACCGCTAGATGCACCCAAAAACTTTTGAAGTAGTTCTGTTGGGATGTTTTTGATCAACCCCCCCCCCATAGCTCGGATTTGGCACCGAGCAACTACTAAGGAATTTAATGAAAGACATTATGACAAGCACCTCAATTTGAATGGCGATTATGTCAAAAAATAATGTAATGTTGTAGTTTTCTAATGTGTATAATAAAAGTTCTGCATCTGCAATTGTCTGTCATTGTTAACCAAATGAAAGTTTATTTCTGAATTCTAATAGCAACAGAACATAAAGTGCATATCCATCAAAACTCAAGCCAAAACATTAACATAGTATTTTGTCTTTAGATATTTGTTATATAGAACCTCAGCAGCATTAGCACTATGTATGTGAAACTGTATTAAATATAGCCAGACACCTTTACATTTAGCTACATTTAGTTTTATTTACTTACTTTTCATTATGGGCAACTTTCCTGAAAATGGCAGCAGAAGACCAATGAGATATGTAACCCTCTACATAAGTTCTGACTTTCCTATAGGAACTAAGTTTTTAAACTGGCAGAATGAGGCAATAAAACTGAGTCAACAATGGCCCTTCAGCTCTCAGCTGTGTGCCTACTAACTGTTCCTACCTTATCCCATTCAGTATAAAGCATTAACAGAATAAATATAACGTACAACAGAGAAAATTGGAAAATAAAGAAAAATTCAAGCACCAAAAAGGTCCAATCATAATGCCCATATAATGCTGCTGAAGCTGTTAACATTGTATTCTGAGCATTGAACAAAAAGAGCATAAAATAAAACTCTCAAAGCATACAAGCTTTATTTCAAATTTGGAACATAGGATCATATTTAGAATATTTTATGCCCCTCAAAAATATACATCCTCTTATTAGAATCCATTGAATATAGAATTTGTTTTGGCCGTGCCCTGATTGGTTTGAAAAAAGAATGAAAAGACTGATGGATACATGCAGAGTAATATTAAAAATGAAATTTGCAGTGTTTTTCTTATGTTTCATAGGTATACGGAAAAAGGACAGTATAAAATTTACTGTTAAACAATTTTGAGAAATACTGCTGTAGTTTTAACTCGTGTAAACTCTTTTTACTATGAGATTTATAAATATAGAAATAAAAAGAGAAATGTGTTAAAGATTAATGTACTTATTAATTTAATTTAAGGTTGGTGAATCTGCAGCCCATAGACCAATCACCAGGCTTTCCAACTTTCTCTTAATATATTCCCACAATGTTATATCTCTTAAGTTATTCCTGGTATTTATTTCTTGATCTATTCTGCAGCTACAAATTTGATGGAGAAACTGCAGAAAGGAAATAGCAGTGAGTTGGGACTTTAATCAGAATTTGATAAATATGCCATAATGGACTCAGAATAACACTCTAAGCCAGAAAGAAATTAACAGTATTATGTTAAAGCCAGTCATTGCCTTTAACAGATTTAAAGTTCTAGCCCACATGAACAAGTCTGCTGAGTTCATACTATACTGTGATGTAACCTGAAATCTCTCTTATTTCCATAAATATAGGGCACTGAAGAACTTGAGGTACGCATTCTGGTGCAGGCTCGACCGGGTCAAGATATCAGGTTAGTAATTAATTATCTTTACATTTTAAAATGAATAATAACTACTCAATGCCTATAATATTAATAGCTTTTGAAATGTTATAAAGGAGGTGTTCATTTTGTTAGTAATTTAATTTTTCTCATATTCAGGCCTATAGGACATGATATTAAAAGAGGTGAATGTGTACTGGCCAAGGGAACCCATATGGGCCCATCAGAGATAGGTCTGCTAGCAACTGTTGGAGTAACCGAAGTTGAAGTTAACAAGTTTCCAGTAGTTGCTGTAATGTCTACAGGGAATGAAGTAAGGAAATATATAACGTTTATAAATTGTCAAAAAAGCATGGTAGAATTCTTCAAAAAGAATGGTTTTGTAGTTCTGTTTTGATTATAGTTGTACAATCTTTTTGATTAATTTTTGAAACCTCTTTATTGATAAAATAGATATTTTAAAGATTTAATATAGTACTTTGAAATATCTGGTTTCCTAAAGAACAGTAGAAAGTACATTTACATTATACGCATAGTAGAGTTTAAAGTTTGTGAACCCTTTTGAATTTTCAATATTCCAGCATAAATATGACTTAAAAACTAATCTGTTTTCTACACGTCGTAGAACTAGATAAAGAGAATCTAAGAAATGAGTCAAAAATACTTTACTTTTTGTTTACTTATGGAGGAAAATTATCTAAAAATACAAAAAGTATGTGAATCTCTAGGTTTATCAGTTCATTTGAAGAGGAAATTAGAGTTAATTGTTTCAATCAATGGAATGATTCTTAGGTGTTAGGGTGGGTAGTCCTGCCTTATTTAAAGAGCAGAATTCTGGATATTCACTATCAAAGTCTTTATTTTACAACACAGGTATGTGGAAGTGTGCTGTACTTGAATAAGGATCTCCAATATTAAAAGGGATTGATGCTCATCAGGCTGGAAAAGGTTAAAAATTAATTCCAAATAGTTTGCAAAACATAATGGTAGCAGTATTGCCATTTGGGCCTGCTCTTCTGCCTATGGACCAGGACAGCTTGCCACCATTAATGGAACTATGAATTCTGAATTGTGTCAGCAACTCTACAGAAAAATATCAGGATGTCTTTCTGTGCACTGAAGCTCAAGAAAAAGTTAATCATGTATCAAGAGAAAAACCCAAAATTCACAAGTAATATGATCAAGAAATGGCTAAAGCAGAAGAAATTTAATGTTTTGGAATGGCCAAGTCAAAATCCTGACCTTAAACTTCTGGAAAAAGTTGTGGAAGTGCCTGAAGTGAGAATATCATGAGAGGAACGCCACCAACATCCCCAGATTGAACTATTCTGAAAATAAGAATGGGCTAAAATTCCTCCACGCCCATGTATAAAACTGATCGATATTTGAAGGAAACATTTTGTTGCAGTTACTGATGCCCAAGAGATGGGGGGGGACCAGTTACAGAAAGCAAAGGTTCACATACTTTTGCCCCACACAAATATTAGGTTTGGATCATTTTTACCCATAAATAAATGAACAAGTGTGATGTTTTTATTAATTTAATTAGGTTTTTTAATCTAGTTGTAGAACTTCTATGGAAGACAGATTAAAGCTTAGGTAATATTTATGCTGAAATATTGAAAATTGAAAAGGGTTTATTACACATTTTTATGTATCACTGTATGAATCTCACAAGTAAAAAACCCAAAATTTCTGTGAATTATGAAGTGAGAAACAGAAATGGCAGCGAAACTAGCCAGAGATGGAATCCAGTACATCGACTAGTTAAGCAGTACAAAATCTGAATAACTTTTATTTAATGTTGCATAAATGGTAGAATTTTCTCTCCATCATGGCCCCTACAAATCTGTTCCAAATCTGTTCCATCATGGCCCCTACAAATCTGTTCCAGGCTCCTTTGTGGGCTTACAATGTGTAGAAAGATACAAGATGACTTTCTATCAGCAAAATCACATGACTAATAAACATAGCTGGGTGCAATTTGGTATGTGCAATCTTTTATGTACTAATAAAGGAGTATATTTGTAGCTCAGGGTTGAAATCAGAAGTCCTTGGTGCTTTCTGAGGTTGGTTGTTTGATTGTAGACATTCCATTACCCAAATTAGGTAACCTTATCACTGAAGCTATGTGCATACTTTCAAAGATAAAATCCCAATAGGAAATTAAAGGAAGAACGGATGATGAGGATGTAAAAGTGAAGGAGTAGAAGAATAATTGAGACAAGGGGACATTTTTAATTTGGGAAAGCATCATGCAAGGCTGTATGTGCTCCAACCATATAAAATGTTGCTAGTAAAATTCCATCAACATAATTCTCCTCAACAACTTCAAACAAGATCATAGCAACTTCTTTTAATATATGGGAAAGTGCTTGAATTAGACATTACCAAATCTTCAAGAAATTGTTTTTTTTTTTCAGAATAGTAATGCACACATAAGTGAATACCTGTTCACAGTCTTAAGATTATTACATGTAACAAATGTGGTTTCACAATTCAATTAATTTGACTATATTCATAATTAGTTACTTTGACTCATTTTCCATATAATACTATTACATTAAATACTGTACATAAGCTTAAAAAAACCCAAGGTCTAGATTTCTGCACTTTCTCCCTCTGCCTTTCTACTATATGTATGTATCACCATATTGTAAATATTTATTTTCAGTGCCCCCCAAAAGTTGGTTTGCTATTGCTGCAACAAATCATCAAGAAATCCCAGTTATTTAAAGATACATCTTCTATTTTTTTTATAGCTATTGAATCCTGAAGATGACTTGTTACCAGGAAAGATTAGAGATAGTAATCGTTCTACTCTTTTAGCAACAATTCAAGAGCATGGATATCCGACAATCAACCTGGGGATTGTAGGAGATAAGTATGTGCAAAATAACACTTTGCTTTTTCCACCATATTATTGTTTTTATATATCGTTAAATTGTGCCACCTTTTATCTCTTGGACCAAAGTTTATTTAGCTGATGTTTTTGTTAATTTGCTTTGAAAGATATACCTGTATATTGCTGGAAATTATCACTATTACCGTACCAGTCATTTCACCTTTCTAAGGTACATCTGTGAGTGTCTGTCATTGATAACCAAACGGAGGTTTATTTCCAAATTGCCCTCGTGTCATGATGCATTGTAAAACAATTCATTATAGCAGGGCTCTCCAACTCCTGGTCTGTGGCCCTATATCAGGCCGTAGCCTGTTGGGAACCAGGCTGGGCAGATGGCGGGTGAGCATGCAAATGAAGTTCCATTTGTGTAAGCAGAGACCAGGCACACAAAACCATTTCCCTCCCCACATTGCCACTGCTGCTGGTCCATAGAGCTGGAAAGAGTTGGAAACTGCTGCATTGTTACAGTTGGAGACAGAGTTTCCAAAGCTACTTTATAATAATTGACTCCTCATTTAGTGAGAATTGTATTTTTGAAATGTTAATATCAGACATGATGAAAACAAATTTCAAGGATTGAGCGAATCAACTGAGGAAAAAAGATTAAGGCAAGAAGATATTATAGGAGTGATCTGTGGAATTTGTTAATGCTCTATAGAAAAGTAAATTGGAACTGTACTGTGATTCAGCTCCCAATGTCCCACCCTCTCATATCATATTGTTTCATAATAGCTATGTCTTTTAAACTTGTATAAAAGACTGGTGGTATAATCAGGTTAATATGGTTGATTGCTAGATTTAATAAGCAAGTTACTGAAAACTCTTCATATGGGATTAAGCATTTACATCAGCAGAAATAAGTAATCTAACCAAGAGAGATTTTAAATGAAGGTCAGGTAAAATGCTGCTCTACTTTGGCTTATTGAATTAAGACTTGTGTTGATTAGACTTTCTTGATTTGTTAAACGTGTGTATGTCTGTTTGAGATTGCATGGCCATGCCGGAAACATAAAAGTTCAGAGAAAAGGCCAAGCTACACTTTGTCCCCTGACATCCACTTGTCACCCAGAGGCAGTTCTTAGCTGATACTTAATTATTTCATGAATGAAGGCAAACATCTGCTAGAGACAAGTTCCCTGAAGATGGGCTTCAGCATAAGTCCGAAAGGTCAGAAGAGAAAACCTCTGGTCCCAGTGACCGACACAAATTGGATCCTTAACTTTGTTTGTTTTTCACATTTTTGAATCACCCGTCTCTTCAAAAAGGGACTCAGGGAAATATACAATTAAATGTTAAAATATAAAAATATTATGTAAATGTTAAAATGTTACAATTACAATTTTGGAAGAAGACAAGAATAAAAATTAAACCCTCTTAAAAAGGGTGAAGGGAGGGCTCTCAGGGCACTAACTAGCCCCATAGCTTTATGCTCCTTTGGGCTCTTCACATGAGAAAACAGAGCTTGTTTTAACTCCTCTTTAGAAGGCCAGGACAGGGCAGGGTCTGCTTCACCTATAGAGGAAGAATATTCCACCGAATAGGGGCAATGGCAGAGAAGGCTATCTTCCTAGACCCTACCAGTTGGAGTTCTTTAACTGACAAGATCTGCAACATACCTTCCCTGCCTGACCAGATGCAACAGGTCAATGTAATGGGGCAAAGCTGGTTCTATAGGTAGCTTGGCTCCATGCCATGTAGAGCTTTATAGGTTACAACCAACACCTTGAATTGGACCCATAAGCTATTTGCACCCAATGCCATTCATAGAGTAGAGGTGTTAAATGTACTCTTCTCCGGGCACCCTAATATAGTTTGTGCAGCCTCATTCTGCACCAGCTGATGCTTCTGAATATATTTCAATGGTAGCCCCATGTAGAGCACATTGCGGTAGTCCAGATGGGAGATGACCAGGGCATGAGTGACTAAGTAGAGAGCTTCTCTATCCAGAAAAGGACATAACTATCCAGAAAAGGACATAACTGGCACACAACATAGAATTGAGCAAAGACTCTCCTAGCCACAACTGCCAATTGCTCTTTGAGTAGAAGCTGTGAATCCATGAGGACCCCAGGTCCTGTGCACCAGATCTGTCTGGAGTAATTCCACCTCACCCAAGACCAAAGATGATAAACTCCTGGGTACACACCCACAGTCACATCAATATCTTACCAGGGTTTAGTTGTTCCCCATACAGAGCCCCACAGCCTCCAGGCATGGTAAAAGAACATTCATAGCATTATTCACTTCACCTGGGATGGAGATATACATATAATTGGGTATTATCAGCGTACTCGTGATCTCATACCATGGTGATGGATAATTTCACCAAGTGGTTTCATGTAGACGTTAAAAAGGAGTGGATATAGCAGTGAGCCATGTGGCACTTCACAAAGCAAGGGTTGTGAGCTGGATCTGTTGTTTCCTACTAACGCCATTTGGGACTGACCTCAAAGGTTGGAGGTGAACCAGCACAAAACTGTGCCACCCTCCCCAATTCCCTAAATTGGCCCCATGGTAGAAGGTATCACTGAGAGATCAAAAAGAACAAGGATGGATGCACCACCTCCATCCCACTCCTGCCAGAGATCATCCATGAGTGAGGCCAATGCCATCTTGGTTCCATATTCAGGTCTGAAAGGATCCAGATAATCTGTTCTCTCAATGATCCTCTGGAGTTTCAGCACCACCATCTTCTCAACCTGAAAAGGAGGAAGTGGGAGACTGGACGAAAAGTGTCCAGAATAGTAGGGTTCAGCTTCTTGAGTAGGGCCACACCAATGCCTTTTTAAAAGGAGTTAGGAACAGCCCTTCCCACAAGGATGAATTTACCATTGTCACCTCCCAATGGCCTTAACCAGCTTGGATCTAATGTACAGGTGATAGAGTTTGCATTCCATAGGTCCTTGTCCACTTCCTCAGGTCCAACAGAAACTGTTGTCAGATACTGGGATAAGTCTGCTCCCCAGGTATCTCCACGGAACTTGCACCATGTTTGGTATCCAACTGGGAATAAATATTATCCTCTAGAATGCTCAGAGAATTCCTCTACATGGCCCTGTAGGTACACTTCTGAGCCTCCCTTTCCAAGGAAAGTCCAGGTTATTCTAAACAGAGCCATGTGATCTTATGCTTCATGGGAGAAGGCTAGAAACTATAGAGAACAAGTTTGCTCGCTTTTCTGCTTTTGCAGCTGTCTGGATACCTGAAAATGACAATCAGCTTTTCTAGCCTAATTTGGGTGTTGTATCATTGCCTCAGAGTTTCTGTTTGTTTTGATCTATATTGCTTGTTCATAATACTGCTGATTTATAATTCACTATCAGTTGCTTGATAGTCTTATTTACAAATTAAGGGAAGGAACAATATAATAATTAAATAAACATGATGTTTCTTTGATTAGGTGAGATGAGATCACTGTTGATTCAGATGTAGTCTGTTTAGAGGTATCACAATTTGGTCTTAGAAATCTGTTCTGTAAAAAGTACATCTTTCTTATAAAATAATAATTTTTTCTAGCAGTACTTTAATTAAATGAAGAATTGAGCCACGGAAGGATGAAATGTTGATCTGTATTAGCAATCTGTTTTATTTGCTTTGTGCTATGTAGAACAATCACTAATGTTGCTATTTGGAAATTCAGTACATTTCAAAGGTGGCTTTTTGAGTTGGCTGCCTGCTTTCCCTCTTCATCAGTATGGTTTTATTCTGGTTAAAGCATGATGAAAGGAACAACAATATCTGTAAGGTTAAAGTCTGCACTAGCAGACTTTCCTACTTAAATTTACAACTTTCTATTGATTTCTCTTACTCTGAAGTAAGTGTGATGGGGGAATGATGGCAGAAAGAAAAGGTAGCATTGTGTGTGATCTTTTGACAAAGCTGCAGTGTGTAGTGCTTTTCCTTGTAACTCAGATTGCCATATATGCACTGCGTTCTGAAATGCCCCAGTCTTTGAGTAGGACTTTCCAATAAGATGCTTGAAATAAAGTCTCTTTCTCCCCTTCCTTCACATTTTTAAAAATATAAACAGAAGATTCTCTAGTTGTCAGGTACTTTTATGACAGAGTACTTACTTTTTTATGTTATCATCATCAGAATTTTTGAAATGTTATCCATATAAAGTAGACATGTTTGGGAGTCATTGCAGAAACTGAGGTGGGTGTCTGGAGACTATAATTTTATCAGAAGGAAGAAAAAAACACAAGTCTGAAAAGATGACAGCAAAGAGTATTAGCTGGGATGTCAAGGGACTAAATAAAGAGAAGCAGAAACACCTGTGAACAGCCTGAAGAAAAGCAAAAGCAAGATAAGAACCAATAAATGCTGAAGTAATACTCTGAGATTGTAGTGAAGCTTCTTTCAGTCTAAAAAGGAATCTCAGAGAAGTAGGAGCAGAGCAATGGCTGAGCTATTACTATGGTCTTATTAATAAATCTTATTAATCAGATCTCTGAAACAGTTGTTTCTTGTAATAAACTAGTTTCAGTCCTGGCTGATAGAAGAAGCCTGACATTTTGTATGGAATGAAGAAAAGGTCATTGGAGACTATTGATCTGGATCTTGGCATCCAGGTTTCAGTAATTCAGGAGGAGGGACAAATGACCACCCAGAGGACTGCTTATGATGGGGCAGTGGCAAATAAGATCAGCATTAGTTCCTGATTTTTTTAATGGAAGGACACACTTATCACAGAATTTTTATTAAAAAAAAATTCACAGGGCTCTAAATGATTAAATGGCTCATTTTATTTAATGTCCATAACATTAAAAGAAAATGTTATTTTCTGTATCAAATTGTGCTTATTCTCGAGGAAATGTGTTTAATATCAGAACAGCAAAAGCAAATCCCATTTTAATCCAGTGGGCACAATGATGCTATGATAAAAATTAAAATATGATATTGTAGAACAATGGTAGTCAACCTGGTCCCTACAGCCCACTAGTGGGCGTTCCAGCTTTCGTGGTGGGCGGTAGGGGTTTTGTCCAATACTGAAGCACTTTCCTTTTTTTTAATTTAATTGACTTTTTAAAAAAATTTCATAGCATTATTTAAAAACATTTTCATTAGGTTTTCATAAAATTCCCCGTGACAATTGAAATTTCTGAAAATATACTATTTGTATCGCACGCGCATAAGTTTAGTTCACGTTATGTAAGTGAAACTAAATGGCTCTATAGTGCGACTGCACACAAAAGATCCTTGTCTCAGAATAGCTCGCGCATCTCCCCCCACACCACCCAGCTGTAACAGACAAGCAGAGCTGGTAGTCGGCACCCCCCCAAACCCAATCCACGATGCGTGAGAGGCATGCGCAGACGACGATACACAGTGCAGGCTCTTTTGTTTGTGGTCGCACTGGTCAGTATGCAGTTAGATTTGTGAGAGTGAGCACATGCCTACAGCTTCAAACAAAATATTGTGAGTCCATGTCTCAAAAAAAGAAATACGCTCGTGGCTATTTGCCAGAGTATCTGAAGATGGGTTTCATAGAATCTGTTGTAAATAAACAACATCCAATGTGTTTACTGTGTCATAAAACATTATCCAATGAGGCAATGAAGCCAAGTCGATTGCGAGAACATCTTTCTACAAAGCATCCAAATGATAAGGACAAGCCCATTTAATATTTTCAGGAAATATATAAAAGAATTAAAAATCGTTCAACAATCGTTGCATCATTTAAGAAACAACATGCAGCGAACGAAGATGGATTAACTGCCACTTATCGCATTTCACAATTAATTGCAAAAAGTGGTAAAAGCTATAATATTGGAGAAACTGTAATAATACCCTCTATAAAAGAATTTATCTCAACGGTAATGCATCAGGATACACCTGAAATTTTAAAAACGTTGCCCCTAAGCGGTAGCACAGTAAAGCGACGAATTGAAGAAATGGCAGTTAATGTTGAAAAAAAACTGATAAGTATTCTCCAAAACTCTTCATTTTCCATGCAATTGGATGAGTCTACCATTGCAGATAATAATGCTTTATTGATAGCATAGGTACGTTATTTTGATGAAAACAATACATTACGAGAAGAAATGCTATTTGCAATAAATCTCATTACAGATACAAGAGGATTATCTATATTTAGTACTGTGAAATCATACTTTACAAAAAATAATATTACTTTGAATAATATTGTTGCATGCGCTACTGATGGAGCACCATCAATGGTAGGTCACTATCGTGGATTTGTTGCTTATTTGAAGGAAGAAGTGCCAAATGTTTTATGTATTCATTGTGTGGTGCACAGACAACATCTTGTAGGAAAACATCTAAGTACAAGTCTCCATTCATCATTAACTATAATAATTCGAGCCATAAACAAGATCAAATCCAATGCAAAAAATGATAGAATGTTTCGACAAATTTGCCAGGACAATAATGAAGATTTTATTATGTTACTTTTGCACACAGAAGTTCAGTGGCTGTCAAAGGGTACATCTTTGGTTCGTTTTGTAGCATTATATGATAGTGTCATACAATTTTTTGAAAGTAATAATGAGACCAATCTGTGTCAATAGTTAAAACGATAAAGAATGATGCCTTTTATTTGGCAGATATTTTCAAGAGATTTCATGATGTCAATTTGCAGCTTCAAGGAGCTAATAAAACTCTTATAAGTTGCCAAAGTATTGTGTCATTATTTATTGACAAACTTGAACTACTTTGTTATAATCTATTGAAGAGAGAATTGCATCAGTTTCCTGAATTATCATCTATAAAAGATGATGTAACTCCAGAGGATATTGACAGATTCAGTAGCCACCTCAACGAACTTAAATTGGACATAGAAAAACAATTTGAAGATATTTTGAAATTGAAGGTGTATGACTGGATGAAACATCCTTTTACCACAAATATTGAAGAGGCTGATACAACTTGCCAAGAAGAACTGTTAGAAATTAGATATGATAAAGAAAGTAAACATAAATTCGATAGTGGTGGATATGAAAACCTATAGCAAAGTAAAAAAAATGCCTGTCTTATATCCAAATATGTGGAAAATGATATTCAGTTTATTGATACGTTTCCCTACCTCATATCTTGTGGAATCAGGCTTTAGTGCTGTTAATCATATTATGACCAAAGAAAGAAACTGCCTGAATATTTCTGAAAGAGGAGACCTTCGTTTGTTCCTTACAAAAATTGAGCCAGATATCCAGTATTTAGTTTCACAGCCTCAGCCTCAGGGATCTCATTAATAATTTAATTAATTAAATATAATTTCATCAGACTTCATGCTTCTATGTATGCAAAGTATAAATAAAAAGATAGATTTAACTACAGTAAGTTGTTTTATAAAGATTTATTCTGCCAAACTTAGCAAAAGTCCGACATAAAGTATTTGGTAAGTAATTATTATTATATGCTTTAACTTGCTATAACTCTGCTTTATAAATTTTATAAAGTAAAGTCACTTCCCTACTTTACAAATCACCATTACTGTGGAACTGATGGGCGGTTAGAAAATTTTACTACTAACAGAGATACAAAAGTGGGCGGTAGGTATAAAAAGGTTGACTACCCCTGTTGTAGAATCTCAGCATATTTTTTACAAGGATTAACAGATTTTTTTTTTATTTTCCTTGTTTTTACACTAACATGTCAAGAATAAAACTGTTCTAAAGGAATGTATGTATGTATGTATGTATGTATGTATGTATTGAATTTATTTGCCACCCATCTCATAATGAAAAGAATATGGGCAGCAGTTGTGGCAGGAAAAAGACAGTTATGCAGTGCATAAGGCTGAAAATACAAAATTGTCTGCCTAAAGGGGACCTTCTACAATGCAGGGCCTATTGTTAATTAGCTGGAGTAGTAGGTATTATATCCAAAACATCTCTTAAGATATATTGTGCCTATTACAGCCAGTTAAATTTATATATCAAGTTTTAAGAATAATAATTTAAGAGTAACTAGTGAGAAGAAATAGGGCTATAAGATTTAGTAGATCAGCAGCAGACTCTTTGCTGTGGATTGGATCTTGTCAGGTGCTGATAAGATCAGTCTGTAGCCATAAATACTTCATGAATAGCTCAGTCTGAGAAGAATAGTTGCATCTAGTAACAGCTCTGGAGTAGGAATGAAAAGCCACAAATATCACAGATCTATCTCATTGCATGGGCTCTGTACGAATTTGGAGACCAGATTTTTATTTCTAAAAGATTATTATTCCTCATTTCCTCATTTTCTGGCTGCTGTTTAATTTTCTCCTATTTCCCATCTAACTAATTTACAGTAGTATAACCATGAAGTGGCCTTATTTCTCTCTTGAGAGTCAGCCTGAAATAGCTTATTGCAGGCCAGTGAAATCTCTCCTGCATTCAGTTAGTATTCCCAGTACATATACAAAATTCTGTGCCTCCTATTATGATTTCTTGATTGTCTTGCTCTTGACATTTATATTCTTCCCACTGACGAAAATGAAACTTGTAACTTTTTGTACCTCTTCCTTTGAAGTACATAAAAATCCATACATATATTACCATTAATCTATTTTAATATTGGCATCCTACAGCCCAGATGATTTACTTAATGCCTTGAATGAAGGAATAAGCCGTGCTGATGTCATCATCACATCAGGGGGCGTGTCAATGGGAGAAAAGGTATGTGCAGTAGGTGGTATTGGATCAAAGTTATGAGATTAAAATAAAATAATGAGATGAAAACTCCTTAAGAAATAGGTAATAGCAGAGGGAAATCTTCAGACACCAAAATGAACTAAAGGACCTGATATTAAGGTCATCAAAAGGACAGCAGCCTTGTAGAACTGCCAAGTGTTCAGAATCAGTATGGGTGTCCTTTGTCTTTTCATTGATTGCTCCTTATAGGACAGCTTATTGCCATCCCTTTCAAATGCTTTCTTTTCTGAGCCCATGGAAGTATCTAGAAAAGAGATGGCTTCTTTAATAAGCATCTGGCAGGTACAATTTGGTTGCTAATGCCAAATTCAAAGCAATCTTTCCTGTTACAAATCCAAACACTATCAACATCTATATAAAATCTAAAAGCTCTGGGTGGTGATGTTACCTGCCGTTCTTTGTTAGAGGAACAGTATGCTGGATAAACTTCAAAAATAAAAAAGATTCAGATACACTAATCAGTTCAGAAACATCTGAGCAGTTGATACCCCTCTTCATAAAGAAACAATAGTATTCCCCCATCAATGCAAAATTACACTTTTGTGATGCCCTTTGATGTTGTTACCAGTTTTATTATGTTGTTCTACAGGGATATTTATACTGGTATCATTTAACACCATTTGAGGGGGAAATGATATATGAATTAAATAAAGTGGGATATGCAGCCTCTTTTTGACAAGATCTGCAAGCGTTTGAATAATCTGTTGGTAGGGTTGAAACAAGTCTTGGGAAGTTGGTGAAATTGATTTTTTTAATTAAAAAAATCCCTTTCTGACTTTGCCCTCTCCCAAACTGTAGGAAAAACAGCATTTATTAGAATCTGTTTGATGTGATCTTTTGCATAGATGATTTGCATTTGGATTTACAAGTGCTTTATCTTAGCTTGCCAATTCTGGTTACCTGTTCTTGAAATAAATACATTATCTATGTCTTTGATCTATGCCTGCTTAGCTTTCTAGGACTGGATGATAGTTCATCTTACAAATATCTTAATAATTGAATCCCTTTTTGGTTTTGGGGTTATTGTTTTTTTCAAATAGGACTATCTTAAACAGGTGCTGGATATTGATCTTCACGCCCAGATTCATTTTGGCAGGGTTTTTATGAAACCAGGGTAAGTAATGTTTCTTATGTAGCATTAGTCTTGTATATAATCTGAACAATATTGAGAGCTTAATACTTTGCTTAATAACCCACAGAAAGCATAGTCTAATAAGAAATATTACGTTGCTCCTTTTCCCCCAAAAATTATTCCACTACAGGTGTTGCTAAATAATCATGCTAATTACTAGTAAGATATCTCCATATAATTAATGTGCAGAAGAACATTTTACATTTCCTGTTAAGATAGAAAATCCTGTTGAAAACAAAAGAATGAAGTAGTAGTACCAGTCGTACTGGACCTCCTTTTTAAAAAGCAGAGATGCTTTTGAATGTTAACTTAGATTGTTTGAGAAGGCTTCCTGCCTGCTCAGCATTTGTAACACCTCAACAAGGCTTTCTCATTCTTTCCCTGAGTGGTCAGCTCATTCCTCTTCATTTAATTTTATGTCCCTTCCTCTTTTTTTCCTCATGCATTTCTCTTTCCATGTGTAGAATGTTTTGCTTCTTTTTTTGCTGTTCACACCAGGAGAAAGCAGTGGGAAGAGATGCATTTATTTGGAATTGTTTAATTGAGAGAATGATTGGCATAGGCAGGCAGGGATCAGCCAGCTTTGTAAACAGGACACTTTTACAGGCAGTTCATTTTAATGAGCAATGATTCAGTTAAGGTAAATCCATACAAACAAATATACACACACATAGATAAATATACAAACATACATATACATACATATGCATATACAGATACATTTAGAGCAGTGGTTCTCAACCTGTGGGTCGGGACCCCATTTGGGGTCGAATGACCATTTCACGGGGGTCGCCAAACAAGGCTGTCCGCCATTTTTCCCCCTTTTCTTTGGCCACGCCCCGGGCACCCGGTGATGTATAAGTGGTTGGGGGTCACCACAACATGGGGAACTGTATTATGGGGTTGCGGCATTAGAAAGGTTGAGAACCACTGATTTAGAGGGAAAAAAATAAACTCTATGACTGGTTTCAACTGGAGTTGGCAATCAGAGGTTGGCAAAGTGGGAGAGCTGCGATGTGTGCTTATGTTTGTAGATGTCTTTGGTCTGCTTTTCTTTGTGAGATCATTTTAAATTCATAGTTGTCTTCTTTTTAGATAAACATTGTAAATACCAAAAATGTGTCAAGATGCCTTAGATGACAAACAATAGGAAAAACAGAAAGGGCCAAAGGAAGACCAAAACCTAATGAATTTATCATGGGAAAAACAGACTTCAATCTGGAATCAGATGTATTTAACAAAACAAGAAGCAGGAAGGACTGGACTCCCCCACACTTTCCCTTCATTAAAGCATTCAGATGGTTAATGATACAAAAATGTCTGATGCCTGAACTACACACCCCCGGGAGGACTGATGATCTGACCTGAATATAGGGGATGTGTGTTCTTACATTAGAGCAAATATCTGTGGCCTAAGCACAAGAGTGGAGCATTTTAGAACTACACAGTAGTGCAGTGTTTCCCAAACTTGACAATTTTAAGGCATGAGGACTTCAACTCCCAGAATTCCACAGCCAGCGTTGCTGGTTGTGGAATTCTGGGAGTTGAAGTCCTCATGCCTTAAAATTGTCAAGTTTGGGAAACACTGCAGTAGTGCAAAGCTGTCGTTTTTCCTTTTCTTTTTTTCCAAAATATCCTTTGCATTGCGCATATTTGTATTAAATATAATAAATATAATATCTGTTCAGAAAAAGATAATTTCTTCTCTTCCTCTTCGAACATTACCTCCAGCTTCCCCCTCTTCCTCTATTTTTCTCACACACCCAAGCTTATCAGGTATTATGATTTACTAATTCATATAAATTGACACTTCAGGGGTTCCTCAAATATTTTTTTTATAACAACACTTTCTAGTGTTTATAAACTTTTGGTGATTGTTAGTGATTACTAGAAATCACTAAATAAAACAACCTTTAATAATATAGAGGAGAAAACGAATGGATGCCACTAAAGTAGTCATTGATTGAGATGGCCAGATATAGAAATTGAATAAATAAAGTAAGCAGACCCATATTTTCATTACAGTCGTGTATAATTTCAACAAGTAGCATTTCTTCATACAGCATTCTCATATATTAAATATCCAAATACTAAACATACTAATCCAAAACATGCAGCCATTATTCAAAGTTCATGTTAATATCTGATGTAAGAATCCACATTTATTTGACTTGTCAAAAGGTAGCAGGTATGGTGTATTCTGTTTCCTTAAAGTGGGCAGGAAGATTCTGGTTTCACTTTTCCGTTAGCCACATGATTACAGCTTAGGAAGTCAGACTGTTATCTTAATCACGTACACAGGATAAGATGCTCCCGTTGAGTTATTTCCTTTTTTAAAAATAATTTTAGTGAAGTGAAAAAATAAGAAAAGTGAGAACTACAAAAAAAAGATAAATAAGTAGTTTCTGACCTTGTGTACAGTAGTAAACTTACACTCTTCTCTCTCATTAAAATTTCATCATTACAGGTAATCCTTGACTTGCAACAGTTCATTTAGTGACTGTTCAAAGTTACAGGTCACTGAAAAAAGTGATTTATACATTTTAACAATCACATGTTCATCATGTCTACACAATTCATTTTCAAATTCCTTTTGTTTTTCAGTTCCAATTACTTTTTATCTATAATAAAGCTCTCTTAATTGTGCATATGAAAGCTAAATCCCTTTGCAATAAATTGTTTTTGTGATTTCATCCCATTGATTTATTTCCAAATTATAGAGCTGCACTTTATTTTTTATAAAAAACAAATGAGGTAAAACACTTTGAAAGTGTTTCATCTTTGGAATGTTAATTGCATCTCATTGAACTTAATTGAATATAATTCTTAAACACTAGAAAGTGAAGTTGGAGGATATAGCAAACAAGCAATTTGGAACATTATTATTAATATGCTCCAATCATCTGGTAAATAATTGGGTTACAAATGAAAGCAGTTGTCTAGATGGATAATTTAGTATAACAAAGATGAATTCATGTTGAAAAAAATAAGTCATACAATAAACAATAAAATCCAAATTGTTGGGTTTTATTGGCTAAAAATCTGGCTTTCTAATGGGAAAAAATGATGTAATTGTAAAGTGCTATTAATTCACATTTTTAGTTCCTGTGTAGTATTTTATGAGAATCATTGCATTTTCCAAGGATGTTGAAGATAGCAAAAATGAGGCAATCAAAAATATTTAATGTTGTTGACAAAATTGATAAATAAGGATTTAGTTCATAATTTCAACAATCGGCATCACTTCCTAGGTTACCTACAACCTTTGCAACCTTGGATATTGATGGGGTAAGAAAAATCATCTTCGCGCTCCCAGGTAAGATATATTAAATTATAAATCTCTTCCTTCGTGCTCATAAATACCAAACAAATTTTAAACCAAAAGTTCCAAATCTTCATGTTTGTTACTACAAATATCTTAAGTCATGCTAAGTATCATTATATCTTCCATATGCAACAGTGACAATGCTCTTATTTTTCTGAATCAAAAGTGTATTTTTTAAGATCCACTATGCTATTAGTCATTCTTGCTCCTCAGTTCATCAAATATTCCTGAAAACACTTATTAGAAAGACTTTTGATATGAAGCACAATTTAGTTCAAAAGTAACAAATGTTCTTATTCTTGAAACAATTCTCAAGTAATTTATCAAATAATTGTTTCTTGATCTTTAGGGAACCCTGTGTCAGCAGTTGTTACCTGCAATCTTTTTGTTGTCCCAGCACTGAGAAAGATGCAAGGAATTCTGGATCCTCGTCCAACTATTATAAAAGCCAGGGTAAGAGTTTTCAAATAAAAGGTGAGTTTTGAGGTGCTCTACTTAGTTGCACTAGTATCTCAGAGCTGAAGAAATAACCTTTAAATAGCCTAGAGTTCAAAGAATTCAGGTGAAGTATTGTAAAAAGAGAAAGCATTAAAGAAATGCATTTAAGATGAATCATAACTATTGAGGATGGATGGTATTTGATCAGTAAGACATGGATCTTACTATTGATTACTTTTGTATTATTTGTGATAGAATATGGATATATTTTGTCAGTAGGATAAGGATATGAGGAATAATTTGCTTCTAAGGAAAGAAATTCACAGTTCAGAATCTTGGTCAGACAGCTAATCTCTACACCTCCAAATCATTATTAGACAACATTTTCAAATCCAACTGAGGCATAAGTGAATTTTACATACACTTAAAGTAAGATTCCCTTCCTGCCCCTCCTAGTCTTCTCCCTTTAGGCCAAGAGGAAGATTAAAGTCCCTGTGGGCCTGGAACAACTGATAAAAAGCAAAGAACAGCTCATCCCTGACTAGTTTCTTGCTCAAGGAATGTCAGTAATGGATAGCTGTTTCCTCCCCAACAACCTTTCAAAAACTAAGAGCTATCTAACTTTCCTTACAGAAATCAGCAGTGTAAATAATGTTTGCAAAGTGATTAATGGCATCACAACTTGAATTTAGTTTATAAAGATTAATACAGCTCCTACAAATCCAAATTTCAGAAAAAATACTGAAATTTTTCCACTTTTTTTTTGAGAAAGAAAAACTATTTATTTGTTCCTGTGCCTTATAATCTTCCTAAATTCCTTTTCTCTGTATTTTACAGTTATCAGTTTTGTGTACAATTTCAGATTGCGTAGCTTTTTTGCTATCCCAAATGTGTTTTCACAAGAGGCAAATGGACTTCGTTTTTGTTTGAAGATGTTTTGCTTCTCATCCAAGAAACTTCTTCAGTTCTGATTGGATAGTGGGGAATGGAAGGATTTATATTCCTTGCAGACAGCTGGTCATTTGCATTCTTTTAAAGAGTCATTGAGGCCACTTGGAGGTTATCTGTGTCCTCAGGATCACCTGAGTAGTGCAAATGGTTGTGGAGCCTTCTTGGAATTGCTGAAAGGACTGTGTTGTAGACTGGAGATAGATGATGTCGTGTCCCTCCCCCTCTGTTGAGAGAGGGCTGTTCAATTTTGACATAGATGTCCTCTTTGACCCCTCTTTCAAACCAAAACATCTTGGCCTTTAGGGAACCCTGTGTCAGCAGTTGTTACCTGCAATCTTTTTGTTGTCCCAGTATTGAGAAAGATGCAAGGAATTCTGGATCCTTAAAAGTTTTCAAATAAAAGGTAAAAACTGCAAGGAGTATAAATCTTTCCATTTTACACCATCCAGTCAGAGCTGAAGAAGCTTCTTGGATGAGAAGCGAAATGTCTTCAAAGAAAAACAAGAAAGTTCAGTTGCCTCTTGAAAAAGCAACTTTGGGACAACCATGACCTGGATGACCGAGAATCTCCATAGATAGCTTTTTTATTAATTATAGCTAAAATGGCTTTTATGTGGAAATATATTTACTCCATTGTCTTTCTTTCTCAAACCTTGCTTGGTTTGGAATGTCACAAGTTCCATTGGCAAACAATATTGTTTGGGGAAAGGGCCAAGGAAGCATGATAGGATAAACTCATATGATACTAAGAGTGAAGTTTGGGGCAAAACCCATGTACATGTATCTGGTCTACTCTAATCAAATTAATCTTCTCTTTGTTTTATACATGTTATTTGCATCTGCGAGCTAAATATGGGCCCTTGGAGAGGGGCATTTTAACTGTCTTAATGTTGTTGTATTCACTTTGTGTGTTTTCTACAGTTATCATGTGATGTAAAATTGGACCCTCGTCCAGAATACCATCGGTGCATACTGACTTGGCATCACCAAGAACCACTGCCTTGGGCACAAAGTACAGGTTAGTGCTTACAACCTCTACCTTTTGTAATTTTTGTTGGGTTCATAAGTTTGAAACTTGAAATGTAACAAACACAAATAATTGATATTTTCTCTAATTTTGAATAGCATGTAATATTTGAAACCATAAACCATCATGTAACATTTAAGGAATTCCTCTCCTCAGCCTTTATTCTTTCCTGCTTCAAATTAGGCTCATGAATCTCACCCAATTATAAAATAAGCAAGAAGCATGAACATCTTCTGATTGTTTCAGTCTTCATTACATATCATAGCATATTCAATTATACTATATAATTGATGCAGCTTACATCCAGGATCTATTTGTCTTTTGAAGTCTTGACATCAATTATTTCTTATAGAAAACATCTAAGTTTGGGGGAGAGGAGAACATATTTTATTTACATATATAAAATTGAAAGATTTTCTTGACTGTCAGAAATATAATTTCCTTTAATTAACAAAATTGGTGCTTAATGATACAAAAATTCATGAACCAGCTGTCTGGTTAGAGAATGAAATGGGTATTTTAATTTTGGATCTGGATTCTTTATTACTTGGGGAAAATGATCATTTTGAAAACTAAAAGAAGCTTAACTTGCTGTTTACACTTTGGTGCAAATGCTTCTCAGTACCAAGAAGAAGTAAAGAAGAAGGAAATGTGTATACACATTTTCTGCCATCCTGGGTTATCATTGTGTGTTGCTCTTCATTGTTTAAAAATCTTATTTAGAATAGTCCAAATGAAGAGCAACACACAGTCGTAATCCAGGATGGCAGAAATGCAATATACACATGTGCTTCTTCTTTACTTCTTCTTGGCATCATTACCAAAGGAGAAGTTTGCTTATCATTATTTCTGGTGCTCTTGACTTTTTGTTCCAAAATAATTCAAGGACTATAAAAAAAAAAAAGTTTATAAGACAAGCAATAAGGCATGCTATGTGCAAAATGCTAGACAGACTTTCCCAAATGATTCATGGACATATACCTGCAGCATATTTGGCAGCAACATAGAAGTGGCTTGCTTACGCCTTTTTCCAGAATAGTTTTCAGTCTTGGTATTTCACCTCCAAGTACTAATCAGGCCTGACCTGATGATTTTCCAAGCCCAGACAGTCAGATTCTGCCTTTTAAATATAACTCAATTAATTTTCTCTTTGTGAAAGAAAGCATTTCACAGCGCCATATTTCTCTTAGATGTTCAACTTTTGATGAAGTAAACAAATGAATTACAAGAATATGCTATTGTTCTTAAGATGATACTGTCCCTCCTACTACTATAACCTGTATTGCTGGTCAAAATATCATATAAAGTGGTGAGCTAGCCAGAGTCACTGAGAGTTGAGTGGCACACAGGTTTAATAAATTATTATTATCATCCCATATTTTCCTTTTCCAGTCACAATTGGTAGGTATTGCAAATAATTCAACAATTAACTTCTGAATCAAACATTTTTCTAAATCCCTTCCTTGAGACCATCCAACAGGCAGAGTCAAAACTTCAGCATGGCTGTTTCAAAGGGTTAGAGAGTAGATGCAGGAGAACATTTTTCCCACAAGCAAAGCACCTCATTAAATGATTTGTACAGCCTTACCATACAATAAGAATCTCACAGAAATAGGTACAAGTGGTTGTAAAAGTGATTTTGTAGCTGCCATAACTTCCCATTTAATCCCCCAAAATGCCCCTTCTGAAATAAAAATGCTAAGTTTGTAATTTATATACCCTGGAAATATGCATGTATGTATATTTGTATGTACAGAATGCAATTTTAAGAACAATTATATGTGTGCATGTTCACATTGCCAGACTTACTGTAAATATTGACCTTCTCCATCCATATTTATGTTAGAGGATTCTTCAGAAGGACTAAAAGTCTCAAACATTGCAGTAACCTTTTAAAGTTTTAACTGGGCCTTCTCTATAGAACATAATAAATTATTCTTTGTACATTTACGGAATCTGTTTTGCCGTCAAAAAGATTGTTGGTAGTACTTCTCTGGAAAGCTGTTTGAGTAGTCTTGTTAGGAGCATGTGAAATTGTGATTTAGTTATTGTAATGGATGATTTATCATTTATGTTAAGAAAATGCCACTTTAAGCATCAACCCTTGAATACTTTTAAATGACTTTGTACATAAACGATGCATGGTTCAGGGTGGAACACACATTTTGCAAAAATTCTCAGATTCAATCCCAGCATCATCACCTGGCATTAATGGAAAAGAATCCTCATAATATCCTAGAAAAATCCATTAGCACTGACAGCATTAGGCAAGACAGACCAAAGATCTGATTCAATGAATAGGTTTCCTATATTCCCATGTAAAAGAAAAATATTTTAATCGTGCTTTTCTTCCTTATTTTTCCAAGTATCTCTCAAAGAAAAAAGCCTAGCTGAAAAGTCCTTAATTGAAAATGATGAAGAGATGATTTTGCAGTAACATTACTGTATTATGAAAAGAGAAGAACTGTATCTTGACAAACTGGACATGTGTTGCCCAATGCAAAAGTCAGCTTATCACCAGTGCATCCTAGAAATAAATATCTAAATGTTGTTTTGTGTTCCAAGAAGTTTATTGTAATAGTATTATTTTAGAAATGTCATTCCATTTATTTTATTTTAATAGCAACTTTAAATGTGGATCTCTTTTTCACCATCTGTTTTTAAATTCTGTAACATAATAATTACTATAATTAATCCTTGGAATGTATTACCACAAGATGAAGAGATAAGTATCAGTTTAGCTTTCAATAGGCATTAGACTTAATCATGAAACTTAATCCACTTTGGATTACAAAAATAAAATAAGGTAAGCTTCTTCGTGGCTACCAGTAATATTTGTGTGTTGCTTACAAAATAAAAAATTGCATATCCCTAAAAGGAGAGAAATAGTTATGATGTTATGCATTGTGCTTTCTTTTCCTATCAAATCTAGGAGGCTGTGATGAGAAAGAATACTGGATCTGATCACTAATAAACTAGCATTGCTACAGCAATAGCGTTGTAGTAATACAAGACTGTATTAACCACAATTGGTACTTTTTAATCCGTTTGCTTTACTGCAGGAGTAGACTTCTTTGAGAAGATAGCTTGTAGTTTGGACCTACTAACCTTTGGGTTTATCATATCCATGGCCAGTATGCTGTTCTCAGATAACTTAAAAGGAAAATCATTATTTACGATTAAAAAGGTTCCTTTTTATGGGAGAAATATTGGAATAGTTCAACCCCATATTATAATGCAGTTTGGTAATGGAAATTAATATTGCACTGTCAGAATTCTGGGGGAAAGGCTGGTGATTCATTTCTTGGCCTGGGATATTTGCCCTGCTAATGAATCTTTTTTGCTTTCTCTAGGGAATCAGATGAGCAGTCGTCTGATGAGTATGCGCAGTGCCAATGGACTGTTGATGCTACCTCCAAAGACAGAGCAGTATGTGGAACTTCATAAGGGAGAGGTGGTTGACGTCATGGTCATTGGAAGACTATGATGTTACCAGCAGGAGAAAAAGTTTTGATGCATGTCCACATATCATTGACTGTATCCTGTAATATGCAACGGCACAGCTAGTTTTTCTGAATTGGATAAAAGTTGATCAGTATAAACACCTTGAACTATATTTCAAATGGATTTAAATAAATACCTTTTAAAAAAAACTTCAAAAACAAATCTTAAAAGAATTTATTCTGATTATATCAAAGCAACTTTTTCATTTCTTGCGATTGCTTTGTGTGTTCAATGCTAGTTCCAATAGCAGTAGCTTTTAGTAGACAGCGGTAGGTGCCTGCAGAACTTGTGTTTTTTCTCATCTTTAAGATTCAACTACTTATGCTCTTAAAACAAGGCTGTCTGCTTATTTATACTAGTGTAGACAACACTTGGATTTTCCCTTATTAGTATGCTTCATAACTGCTTCACCGAGAGCTTCTGCTTGTTCTTTATCGTATCTCGTGTTGATGTGCACAGTGCCAAAAGCAGAGTGGCTGCACTGGGAACCCGATCAAGCCCCAAGGTTTTCCTCCTTGCTGCGCGTTCAGGGATACCTGTCATCCCAGCAGCCACCCAGCTCAGTACTATTGGGCAGTAACTGGATACCTTTTGTTTAAACAAACAACAACAAAAAAATTGCTTCCTTAAGTGCTGACAGCCTTTTTAACCAATACATTTAAAATGTACAGAATTAAAATCTTTAAAAAAAAAAATCAAAGACTGATCTTGTACAGATATTAGTGTTACCAGCATTCATGTGGAAATTAAATAAGAAATAAAAACTAATGTTAAACAACTCTGTACCATAACATTTTCTGTAATGATACTGAAATTTAAATGAATAAAAAAAAATCCTGAATCATTATTTAAAAGGTGATTGTGTTAAGCCTGGTTGTTTAATAAGGGGGTAAAAAAAATCACTGTTTTTAGTCTTGGGGAAAGGACACCATGGTTCAGAAATTAAATGAGCACAAATATATTGGAGCAAAAAAAATGGTGATGCATAAATTTTGCATTTAAAAGATTTTAATAAGGTTGTGTTATCTTTCTTGGATCTTAAAACTGCAATCCTTGGAAGATACTTTAATGGTACAATTTATGAACATCACTAATACAGATTAAATTAAAAATATAGGGTTTAAATCATCTAAGAAACTGGCATAAGTGGAAGAGAATGTTTAACTAATGTGTGGAATATTTCTACTTTTTAAAAATTATATGCCTCATGAACACTATTGCAGTTAAGAATAATTGATCCATAAGCATTTGCATAATGTGGCACTTCTAGGTATTAAGTAAGAAATGAAGGAAATAAATTCAGTATGAGATAACTAACTGCAAGATTGCTTTCAGGATGCTACATAGTGAAAAAATATTTTGAGCTCAGGTCTTCCCCCTACATACCATTATTGCTCTCATGACTGCTTAAAATACTTGTTTTTTTAAAAATTCCATAAAGAGTTACATAAATTATAATTATAAATTATTTGCCTTAAAATAATATTTAGTGCTAATAAGGTGTAAAAATATGGTGAAATGAGAAATGCATATTAAGGCTGGTAAAAAATACTGTCCAATGTAGAATGTATATCTTGAAACTGATTTGATGTTGACCATGGCACTTCATGACTGACCACAATCCTATTTGCCTTTGGGAATAAGCCAGGTAATGACCATGAACATTTAGTAAAGTAATGAAAGTTTAACACTGTTTAGCTTAATGTCAATAGAGTTAGACAGAGTTAGAGTTAAAGTTAGATCATTGCCCTCCAATAACTCCTTTGATTATCTCCCCTCCTCACTGAACATCATATCCAGATTAGAAATAAAAAAATGTGCTTTCTTAAACAGGATACTTACAAAAATGCAGATTTACAAAATTGCAATGTTTGTCATTTTTGTTTAACTTAGGTAAAACATCTTTTTTATGAATGAAAATAACATCACAACTTGTTGACAATAGCTCAAAGACATTTGTATAAACTCCTAGGAAGAAATCACTACTTAATCTCATTTTATATTTCAAAAATCTTATTTTACAAATGGCTTTAATCCAGATAGATTCTTTGAGCCATCATCATTACTGTTAATTTGGATTTTTTTATGTATATTTCTATAAATTTCTGTTCCCCATCAAAAATGCCTTTTCTTTTGTATTTCATAGTTCTCACATTTCAGTGTTCTAAATTATTTGCCAACACTGGCATGTTCGTTCACTGTTTCCTATGCTAAAGTAAGTTTTTTGCAATTCTTCTACACATGTTCAGGTCTCTTCCTTATGCTTACTAATATCTCTTCTCTGAAACTTAGCTTATATTTCACCTTACATCTATATTCTACAGTTATATTTTCTCTGCAGTTTTTTTTACCTTTCCTTCACTTCTGAATAGATATATAGAGCATTGTGTTCTAAAGGTACATATTCACAGCATAGATAAACCCCCAAATGACCTCAATGGCTCTCAGAGAATGCTAACGACTAGATGACTGCAAAGAAATATAATCCTTCCATTCCACCCTTTCCATTCTGTCAGAATCTATTGTTCCATCCCACCACCATTCAGTCACAATTGATGAAGCTTCTTGAATGAGAAGTGAAGTGTCTTCCTCCTCAAAGAAAAACAGTACAGTTGCCTTTTGAAAAAAAAGAGCAGCTTTGAGACATCTATCATTAATACTTTAATTATATTAAACAGCTACTTATTAACTTCACCTTAGCTTTGATATTGCAACTGCCATTAGGAAAATCATCAGAGAGATAACAAAAGTCAGGCCACTTTAGCAAGGCTTTTAGGAAAACAAGAGATTTGATGAAATAATGAATGCTAAGCTAAGTACTGGCCAATTATTCAATAAAGAGAAATTATATAGAGAAACTGCATAGGGAAACACTGTATATGAATGGAAAGAAAGAGGTAATATTGAGGGAGAGAAGCAAATAGATAACTGATAATAATCTATGTTGGCTGGGTACTTCTGAGAGTTGAAGTCAACCCCTCTTGAAGTTGCTAGGGTTAAGACATACTGGTCTATAGTTATCAAGCAAGAGAAATTATTTCTGGAAGAAAACAAGAGTTTGCAGAAGGTCCCTCATCGAAAATATCAAACAAGTTAATGGTCCTGAGAAACATATTACTATTTCTTAATAGCTACAGGTCAATACAGATAGTCCTTGACTTACAACCATTCAATTAACAACTGTTCAGTTACGATGGCCACACCACCGCCACTTGCAGTCATGCGATCACATTTTGGGCAATTGTTAACTGACTCATCTTGACAACTGTTTACAGCATCCCATGGTCACGTGACTGCAATTTTGGGGGGGGGCTGGTTTCTAGCATTTACTTGCAGTTTCCAGCAAAATAATACATATTGGGGACAACTGATTCGTTTAATGACTGCCATTCACTTAATGACTGCTGTATTTGCTTAACAACTGCCACAAAAAAGTGGAAAAAAAATCAGGTCCAATCATGTGATGCCTTGACTTATAACCAGAACAATTCACAACTGTCATTGTGGGCTCAATTAGAGTCATATGTCAAGGACTATCTGTATAAATAATGTTCAAGTACTGCCATCCTTTGTATACTTTGATAATAGTTCAATTTTTACAGAGAATTTATAAGATCTGTAATCTTTAATTCTAGATCAAGACAGAAAGTGTATGATCTTCCTGTTGACAGCTTTTAGCAGTCCATTATCAATTGTGATTAGATTGGTAATCCAATATATAGGGGACCATTGGTCCTCCACCCATTTCCTAGATGATGTGTTATTAGGAAAATAAAATCTATTGTTATTGTTTTAAGTAATATAATTTAATTCTAACATGTCCTTTCATATATTTTTTGTCTTTACATTCTCTTAAGATTTCTTTTTCAGCATCCCTGTGCCCTGTCTCTGTATGGATCAGTTGGTGTCAAAATCCTTTCTAGATAACTAACCAAGTCACTTATGTGTGAAAAAAATAATGTGTGTGAACAGAATGAATAATCACTTTTTCCCAGACCTATTTCTAAGGCATTATTATAACAATTATATTTCTCGTTTTCTCTTGCAGAAGGATATTAAATTTTGTCAGCCTTTATGACATATATAAAAAAAGTAATACTTCATTTTCAGAAAACTGGATGACTGCAGTAAGAGTTTTGCTAATAGATGCCAGTCTTTCATAGGGCACCAGTTCAGATCTTATGGGAACTGACTAGAACTGAAAATTATCATCTGAAAGTGGTTTAGTGCTCTTTGTGAAAATTGCTAACATAATAAATTCTTCATCTGTTAGAGAAAAGTGAAAATACAGGGTGGTTGATTGAGTTTGAAAGCAAAGATTAGTCATTTCTTCTTAAGAATGCCCATAATCCTGAATGGAATATTAAAAGATGTGTTATAAATGTGATCCAATTCTGCCATTGAAGTTTTTATTTTATTTCTTGATGAGATTACAGGTTTCACTTCTCTTTGTTATGGATCACATTCACTAATCTTCCATAATCTTTTATAAATACAACACCTCCAATATTAATGTGCAGAAAGTGTCCATCAGTTCTGACTTCCATCAGCACACCAGAATATCAGTGATTTAGCAAAGCTAACTACCTTTCCTCTGAAAAATGGGGAGGATGTAAGCCCAGGCAAATATGACCAAACTTAGTCATCTAGACCAAACTTAGTCATCTTAGACAACCATTTGTCTGAAATGCATAGTTTTTCCTGCCTGAGCAGGGTGTTGGACTAGTGTTATTCTGCTACCTATGTTTTGTGGGAAATTTTGTTTCATCGGGAGCTTTGAATCTTCTTTGCACCAAGAAAACCATTTAGTCATGAGCTTTGAGTTTCTTTTATTATAGCTCTCTCACACCTTTTACCTAAAGAAACAAAGTAGCATTTATGAGAGCCAATATATAAATCTGTACAACCTTGAATCAGAATTATTAGCACAAAGTTTCTAAGACAAGTAGACAAGAGGAAAAACTGATTTTTTTATATATATAGATGTATTCTATGCAGTGCTTTGGGATCTTGAAAAATAATGGAAGATGGGAAAAGAAGCTGAGAATGCAACCTTTTAGAACCATTGGCTTACTTTCAGAGACACAACTTGCATATAATCGAAAACTATCAATATTTACAAGAGAGGTATTTTTTTCACCAGTTTAAAAGAAACATCAAGGGTAAAAATACAAATTACCTGTCAATTCTATAACATTTGAAATGGCTGGATGGAAGTAGTATGTTATAGATAACATATAAGATGACGAGTGTACTGAATGTCACTGTCTACTACCATTTTCGCACCAAGAGTTATGCTGTTACATGGAAGCAAAGAACAGCACTGGGGAAAAGCAGAGTGAGCAACTCTGTTTAAATGAAGTTACTATTATTTGCAGGACTGGATGGTGGCAGAGGTGAGACTGGAGAACAGAAGTAGCAATTTATGTAGTCCAAGCACACAATCTGTGACCTGCAAACTGAGGTTGCCTCACCCAGGTTCCCTTCAGAAACAGTGTTTCTGTTACTCTTTTGCTTGCCATTCCCCCAAGAATCCACCCTAACTGAAGATATAGTTTTCTCACCTAAGTCTTTCTTGCAAGAACAAGAAACTTTCTTACAGGACCAAGAAATTTTCCATTAGCTGTGTTGTTGAAGAATTATAAAATTATACTTTACATCAATGAAACCATAGAGCTCTTGCAAAAACTTGCAGTAACGATCTATGATCAGAAGACACTACTAGGAATTCTGGACAATAACAAAGACTACCGCACAACTCACTATAATTACAATATACCCTGTGCTCATCTAAAAAATCTTAATTGTATCCTTATCAAAATCATATGAAAAAATAATTGCGCTAATTTTCTATTGAGAATCTATTCCACAGAAGTGAAGTCTGAAATTGTGAAATTAAGGATATGGTGAATGCACAATTACTGCAAATTGTTTTTCAAGCATGTATTTTAACATCTAGCAAGCTATTTTTATATAGCATGAGTTTAATAAGAACCAAATTGCTATGTTATTTTACAGACTTGCTTCTAAAAAGGTACTTTTAATTTTTACTGAACATTACCCAGTGAAATGATGCTGACTCTGCGCTTAGTATACAGAAATGTTTACCTTTCCAAACATACTCAGGAACTTAACTTTTGATATGATTCTTGGAGAAAACACTTGCTTATTTCACCATGAAAAGGTTAAGCAATTGTATGCAGTGATTCCTTTGTCTGACATGTATATGCTAATAAGGCATTATTGTCTCAGACCCTGCTGGGACTGGATAGGTTGGTTTATTTTTCAAATCTTTTTTTCCTTGTATCCACTGTTTGCTCCTGTCCAGAGAAAAATCCAGGAACATGCAGACAACCTATACAGTTTTATGTAAGAATTCTGTTGTATATTGAATAATTTTACTATGACACTTTCTAAATGCTCTTAATCTTAACATTGTGAACTTTTAAAATTTTGATTATGGCCCATCATTAACAAAATAACTTGAATAAGCTATTTTAATTCTGTAAGCATATTTAGGACTTAGAACCCTGAATGACTCACTAAGATATACACACACCATAATTTTTCATTGTGTTCTTCACCATTGATCCTGAAAGTTTTTCAGTCACTAAAATCTTGTTACTAAATAATGATATCATCATTTTGGGCCAAGATAATTGCCTGTAATCTTCAATAATGAAGATAGTCCAGAGATTAAATATCCTCAGCTATTCTTTCTCACATCCCTATTCTGATCATTTTACTGAATTGTATCTGATAATAATTTCTGAACTGTGCAATGGACATGGTATACTTCTAAGAATTCCACAATGCATCCAATAATTATAGCCTGAAAGAATAATGCTTGTTATGCGTTACTAACCATATATTTGTTGTCTCAAGGATTTCAGTGTTTATTTTCTTCATTTCTAGCATTTATCAAAAACAATTGATAAAGTTGATATTTTGGTTCATTCTGCTCAACATATTTCACTCTGAAGTAAATGTGTGGGTGCTGAAACAATCAGAATGTATAACGAACTAGCATTAAACATTGTGTCAAAGTAATGAATAATATCAGATAACACTAAGGTTGCTTACTTGGAGTTTTCACGTACAAAAGGGCCATGGACAGAGAAAGCCACTGCACCAAAAAAAGCTTACATGTAGCCATTTCCTAACAACCAGTTCCATGATTTTTATATGCCTGTCATTTCTAACTACATCTTACTGCATGATGTCAGGTAAGCTAGCCTGTTTTGCATATGCTGCTATTGTGACACAGTTTTATCCCACTTCTGAATACCAATTATTGCTTGGGAAATTCTATAAGGGAGCACTTACTTCTTGACCTTTATTGGACCATTACGAATTGTTGAGGGGAGGGTGTTCAAGTTTTTTTTAACTGTTCATCTTGAGAAATGCAATGACCTATTTTTTAAAAAAGAGAAAAAAAATAAGATTTAATAGCCAAGCCATCCACTGTGGGGATCCAAAAATTTAAGATGACATTTGCAATAGTCTTTTTTTTGCGCATTGCATTTGGGACACATGTTAAAAAATGACAACATTTTGACCATATGGTTTCAATTGCTTTCTTTACTTCTTTGAGTACATCCCACCCTGCTTTCCTAATGGAAACTCCTTTTAAGGAGAGATATTAGAAATTGGTAACTTTTTCATTGTGGAAATGTAATAAGATATACAGAGATATATGCTTGCTTATTGGCCTGTCCTCTTTCTAATTTTAGGCTAAAAAATGTTTTAAAGCTCAATAATGAAAATATATTTACCTGCTTATGGGGGATTGGCTTATTAGTTGATTAAATCCAAAACAGGAATGATAAAAATGTGTTTGGCATGTATGCGTTTTTTAATATGAACTTACTCAATAAAAACCCATTTTTCAAACCAATATATGAACTTAAAAACATTAAAAGTAAAAACTCTTGTCTCAGCAAATATATATAGAGAGAGGGGGGGGGGAACTTCATACACTGAAAACAATGCATAATCTAAAAGTAACAATTTGCCCATTTCTCTATAAACAAACCAAACGTGTGCTTTATAAAATGCATGGCTGTATAGAGAAATTCTCTGTGAATGATGCTTCCAGTTATTCAAAAGAGCATTTGCTGAATTCAGTTCAGTCTGGCTGATACCTTAAATATTTGCTGCAGGGCTTGGCCTCCCTGGAGAGTATCACCTCCAACACTGCTGAAACTACTACAATCTCTTCTTATGTTGCAAATCTTAATCCTCATATAATAATTTACCATTCTTAGATCATTTCAGTGGCCCACTTTATTTATCAGATTTATATTGGCTCATCTCGTGATGTGAGGTAACACTGAGCGGCTTACAATATAATAAAACATAGAAATAAAAACACTCTCTCCAATAGTCTGAAATAGTGGGTGCAGCAGTATATCCATTAGTAAATGGTTCTTCTGTAAGAGTATCATTTGTTCTTGTCTTGTGTTTAGGTGTAATAAGCAGCTGCCACTTTTAAAAGCTTTAAAAACACAACCTACAAAATCAGCAAACCTGCTATGGGAGATCTTCAGAAAGTTCTTGACAGAGGAGAATATATTCCCTTGAAGTCTGCTCCTGTGTTTGAGAGTAAATTTGTTCAGGTAATTTATTTTTTGAAGTGCATTTGTTTAATTGGTAGAAAGATTTTCAATTACAGGGACTGAAAAAGTAAGAAAGATAGACAGAAAGGTGATCCTATCACTTGTTCCCTCAGGCATTTCCCTCAGTACCAATCTAGGACAGCAGGATTAAGTAGCTTTTATTGGAGAAGTTGTTAACGTTCTTTCCTTTCTACCTTGAACCAAGAAATAACTAATTTTCTAAGAAACCACTTTGGATACTGAAAATTCCAATAATTCAATTCAATTCAACCAATTTGGATTAAATCTTTTTGATCTATCTTCAAGGCTAGTATTGTTTAAAGAAAACAGGTTTCTAAGTGGTTTTTCATGTCATGCTGTTTTGTATAGGTTTTAGTAGTAGTTAAATATTTTTGCAGCAATTCCATTCCCTATTGAAGCACCATGTCCATTCCGAATTTAAGGTTCATCACTAAATCCCAAAACATATAAGCTGTGGATCCTCCTAGGGTTCCCTCCGGATCCTCCTAGGGTTCCCTCCTGTCCCCTCTTCTTTTCATTCCCAGTATAAAGCTACTCAAGTCATCCAGGCATTGCATATATGAAATCAAAAGTGCAACATCCATAAAGGAGTTGCATGCTATGTAAACTAGTATATGAAATATTTTGTTTGCATATCCTAGTCTACAAAGCATGCATCCTTTATTTCTCAGATCATGTAACTATTGCTTGAATGTGCAAGAGTTGCCTTTTAACTTTTTTTCTAAAAAAAATCTATAACAAAAAAGAAAGCAGCAACACCCAACATTACTATTCATTTCTTTAACCCACAAGGATACTCTTAATGATGAATTGCTCCCCAGAATCTAGTTTAGTTTAGTTTAGTTTCCATTAACAACCGTAATTGTGTCAGAACTTAATTAAATTGAACTTCTCAAGTTAGCAGCTGGTCAACTCAGGAAAGACATTAAAACTACTGTATTAATCCTAATGGAGGATCTGATTCATATCTTGATGCTTGGTTTTCTCAGATCCTTTGAATTCTTATGCAGGGGATTGGACTAATTGGCTTAGATGAGAAAAAGATTATGCAATGCTATAGGTTGAGGTCTCAAGAGACTACTATAGCAGAGGGGACAATTTTCCATTTCTACGCCACAAGCTCAGGGAAGAAAGGGAAAGAGAGAAAGATGTTGAGCTAACCAAGTTCTGAAAGTGTGCAATTCAGGTCACGAAAATTTGCTAAACAGAGGGATCAAGCTGTCAGTGAGTGAAAGGCAATTGAAAAGCATTACTAAACAAGCAAAAATTCCATAACCTAGGTAAGCACCATGCTCAGGGTATCTGGACATGAAATGAGGTTGCTATAACTGTTACTTCCAGCAGCTTGACTAGCCTAACCCAGGCTCTTTTGCAATAGGCAGCTGAGATTCCAGTAGGCTAAGCTGACAAGAGTTGTCCAGTGGCAACTCTTAAGGAAGCTATTGACCTCAAGGAATAATTTCACAATTCAGGGTAACCCTGTACTTTTCAACTCTTTGGTCTTGCAGAAAGTGGTGGATTTAGATGCTAAGGGATCAGTTCTGGCTAAAGGTCTGAAATAGGAGCATTGGTAGAGGTTGAAGGGGTGAGATGCAGTTCAAATCTGTGTGTTAGACCCCAGAACTTGAGAAAACAAATTCGGTCTCCTGGCTTTCCATTGAAGCCTCCTTCTCTTTCAAGGAAGAATACAAAATGTATTAGCTTAAACTGATGTGCCAATTATGGCTCTTCTTAAGAGAAATTAATCCTAATTATCAGTGGCAAATCTGTACCATTTTCTAAGACTGAATTTAAATCAAAATAGCTATTGATTATCCATGTGATATATTATCCACTATTTAAATTCAATTTCTAAGAGATACATGTATCTGTTTATGTGTAAAATTTAGAATAAAAGGCACATAGCTATTCTAATGCTGCAGTGCTTTAGCTTTAGCATTATACTGTATATGCTCTTTGAGTGATTATTAAAACATAGTTCTAATATGTTTTAATAAGCACCCTAAGTTCTAATTCAATCAAAAGTAAGTTGTCAGTTGTATAATACCTAAGCAGGTCATAATCCAGGAACTAATGTACTCTTCAGCTCCACCCAACAAATGGACTTTGGTGTAAGTACTTAATTCCATAAATAACTCTCTTCGTGTACTGTACTTCAACACTTGCTTATAGTTCTTCATCATTTCATACGCTAATTGTTTTGAGGAACCATTTAGGTGGATTTGTCTTGTGGTGACTATATGAGTAATTGTTCCATCTTCTTGATAATTTTTTTGTAACAACTTAGAGCTTTTCCAAGAACATATCTATTTTGAGTTCATTATCATCTTTTGAGTTTATTATCATCTTTTACTTTCCTCTGCTCTGCTAGAAATTTTTTTTATTTCATCATTCACTCGCATGCCAACATTATCTTAGTTTCTGTTAACTATATTTTTATTATGCTTAGAACAAACTTTTCTCTTTTCAGGTAAATAGGAAAGGTGGATCAATTTACCTTCATAATCGTCCCAACTATGTGACCGTGGGTATATGTGCCTCTAGCACAAAATTGTCAATGCCAAATGTAATGCTGCTTGCCAATTCATCTCCTTATTCCTCCAAAGAAGACCTTTCAACCTATCCATCATCTACCCAGCCCTCACATTCTAAAGAAGAACTGGTACTCACCAGGTGAGTTAACTACTAATATATATATGGCTAATATATATACAGGCATGAGTAGTGGGCCCCAATGAGTAGGATGGAATTTAATGTAAGAAATGTAAAGTTCTGCATCAAAGTACTGTAGGAAGAACTATTGTAAAAGCAAAGTAGAGAATGGAGGAAACCTGATTTGGCAATGGTACATATAAAAAGATTTCTTTGCTGACTACAAGTGAAACATGAGTCCAGCAAGATAATACAGATCTATCTAAATATCAGAAAAAGATTAACCTACTTCCAGGTAGATATTCCATGATAAATTTTAGATACTTTTAGATATGTATCTACATATCCATAATGAGAAAAGAGATCAATATGTTCAATGATACAGTTAAGATTAGAACTGGAGCAAGCAACTTCATGTCTACACAACCTCTACCAATTTTCCTTCTGGTAAATATTTTACAGTATGTTTGACTAGGGCAGCTGTTTTGATAATGTGCATGTCCCATGTCATGCAAGAGCTCGCAATGTGCAAATGTCTTGTCCCTTTTTAACAATGAAATTAAGTTTCACCTATGTATTATGTAGGAATTTCTTATGCATCTAGACTATCTTAGCATTTCATTAAGTTATAATATTATCAATATTTTTCATTAACGTTGAAGTTACTAACAAGTAACATGGCACTGATGTGTCGCCCAAATGGAAACTGACACCAATGTAGTGCGATGAAAGATCTGCATGGAACATTATAAAATTGGATTACCATATATGCCGGCGTATTAGGCGACCCGGCGTATAAGACGACCCCCGTCTTTATAGCCGGGCCGCATTCCTAGAATGTCGTCTTATACGCCGGAAACTACCAGTATTTCCGGCGTATAAGACGACCCCCGTCCTTGGCGCCGATTTCAACGCTCACGGAAGTCATCTTATACGCCAGCATTTACGGTACTAAATGGTGCAAAACTAGAAATGTGCCTTAAAATGTTCTGTATTTTTTTGCATTATTACTTTTTTCTTATTTTTACCATTCAAGAAGTTGGAAGATCTGTCTGGATTACGTACACCATTAAATGGCTTCTTTCTTTTACATGCACTCACTTTGCCAGTCATCCTTTATAAAATGTACTTTTTACATATCTATTTAGTTTATATGTAACCCAAATCAATAATTAAATCTATTTGAAACAGTTACCCAATCTTGTCCTGTCCTGTTCAATGTAATGAATTCTTAAAATATTACCTTTCTGAAACTGATATGGACACCTTTGTTGCAGGTTCTTGCCTTTGCAGTTTGTAGATCTCTCCGTTCACTCCGCTAATAAGAGACGGCTCAAGCTTAAGCTGGTGAATGGTCGGGCCTACTACCTAGAACTCTGTGCTCCAGTCCAGAAGCAGAGTGAGATATTCTCTCAGTGGGTGCGGCTCATCAATCTGCTGAAATCTAAATCTGAAGGGCCTTCAATTAATACTCTTTATAAGGATTTTGAAACCCAGGAGGACAATAAAGCCATCAGGAATAAAACAAGAATACAAGTGAGCGTTTACTGGGTGGGCCCAACATTACTTCACAAAGCAGGAATATTGTTGGAAATGAGACCCTGAGCATTCAAACACCACATATACCAATTGTCGGTAAAATAGGTACTTTTGTAAAGTTGATTTTTAAAAAAGTAACTTCAATATCAATTCTGAGTTCGCTTTAGGGAGAGTGTTAGAGATAGTACCATATATATAAAAACAGACCTTTACTTTTTTTGTTTTGAGGTTTTATAAGTCTTCAGAGAAGATCAGGAGATACTAGCATACATACATTACTTAATACAATTATTGGTTAGTGGGTTAGCCTGGCCCAAATTCCTATTTAAGTAGAAGAAGAAAATTGAACGACTAAAATAAAAAGATAAAAAGAGAGATAGATAGAAAGATGGATGATAAATAATTCATTCCTTCAGAATCCCTGCCTAAAAAAAAAGATCATGAGAAAAGGAAACCTTTAAAAAGAATACAATCGCCCAGAGCAAATTACACATTTTGCTGTGTCATACAGTTTTCAGATCAATTACACATGTAAAAGAAGCCAAGCTATCATACATACTGAAGTAATTCGGAAACATTGATATTGGGCAATTTTGTGTATCACAATTAACTGCTGTGCATTTTTTTAAAAAAAAAAAAAACGTAACTCCTCCCAAGGTGTTTCATGTGTAACACAAAGGCAATGGCAATCCCAAAGGTGCCTTTTCAAAAGGCAACTGGACTTCCTTTGTTTTTCCTTGAAGATCTTTAGCTTCTCATCTAAGAAGATTCTTCAGTTCTTCAAGGAAAAAAAACAGGAAAGTCCAGTTGTCTTTTGAAAAAAGCACCTTTGGGACAACCATGGCATGGATGACTGAGAATCTCCATAGACAAAAGGCATGGCAAATAATAGAAAAATTTCAAAATCCTGGAGAAATTTTAAGCTGGGGATGAATAAATAAAAACGTTCTATTTCTTGAACGTTTCAATTCAGTAATTCAACTAATTAATACATTTTCCAGAGTGGCAAAATTAACATTTGACCAACCGGTTGCACATTATATACATCACATCCCATTAGTCAAAATGTCACCCAATTCAAAACATTTTGTGTTGCTAGACTTGAACATTTCATGCATGATCTGCAGCCAGGGACTCTCGAAGACCAAAAAGTGGGCTGTCAATAGCCTGAAGGAGTGTTATATCTCAAGAATTCTGCAGCTTATCAGTATGTCCTTAAATATGTTAAAAATATAGACTTTTCAAGAACTATTGAAGGAGGTTCCATAGGAGAGGATTTTTTTTTTCAAGTCTATGTCTTTTTTACTGTCAGTCCACAGCCAGGATAAAGCAGAATGTTTACACAATACAAGATCAGGACACTCTGACATCAGTATAAGATTGAGCTGTCCTTAATGAAAGTATTTGAAAAGTCTAGAATTAGCTTCGTACCACTTAGTTAACTTCTATGTGAAAGAAACCACGTCATCTCTGAAAAGCAATGAAAAATAATAACTTCTGAATCTTAATCCACAGACGTTTTAAGTCCAAATAACTGGATTTAGTGTGCAGTTGTATACATTTAACTGAAATTATTACATGTAGTGACAAGAAAAATGCAAAAAATAAGCTGCACAGCAGAATCTTTTAAAAGAAATCAATGTTACAATTTGCTCTGTGACAGTACATTTAAACAGAAATCATACTTACAAATATAAAATTTAATAATGGTTTAAAACCAAATAAAAATATTGCTAATATGATTTCATATATTCTTTTCTGTTTCTCATTTTGTGCCCCTCATTCTTTCCATTCTACAGGGAAAACAATATTTGGGTCAAATATTCTGGGTTACACTGTGAATCATAGCAAATTCACAGAAACTGCATGGTAGTTTTATACCAGGCGTTCAGTTTTTGCTACTTAAGGTATGATGTATGTTTTCTTGTTCTTTCTTCCTCAGGGAAAAAACACAATAGAACCTCTTAAAAATCAATCAGCCAATCAAGAGTCAACAGAACTCAGCAAAAAAGTATCTTCCAAGCGTGTCACCTATTCAGATGTTGTGGGTTCTATTGAAGAATTTCAGAACAAAAGCCAAACCATAGTTTCTTCTGACAGCTACATGAAACAGCCCCATGCAGACTCAGTGAAACAAAATAAATTCAGTCAAGAATTAAGAGGGACACCTACCAGAAAGAAAAAATCTAGGTAAGTGAATACAGGCTGATGTGCATACACAAACACACACAGATACACACACACACATGAACACGTACAGGCATATGCACAATACATATATTTTCCATCTTCTGTTTCAGCATAGAGTTTTTACAGCAATACATGGTTTGTAATGGTTTGTAATGCTGCCATTGCAGCACTTTGCATATTCCTTGGTCCTAAGACCCCATTTATTAAGCACACCAAGGGGATGGTGACCCATAGGATTTCAAGTTTAGATCTAGAACAGAAAGAAGAAAATACCAAAAGATAAATCTACATCTGAGTATCTAAAACGAAAGGTGAGTTTGTATTCAGATTTATTATCAACTTTGAACAATGGACTTTTTTGCATTACATAGGTAACTATTTTAACAGAGCAACCATCTGACATTTACTAGTTGTACAATTTCAATTTTTTTAAATATTCTCTTAGCTTGCATTTGGAAAATAAATTAACAAAATGTATCCAAACAATGCAATAAAATACAGCAGCACTCTCCAAATTGATGGCCCCCAATTATTTGAAACTCATCTTCCATAAATCCTAGCTGACACAAACAATTTAGAATCTCATATTTTCTGCAGAGGAAGGAATTTGTATTGGAGTTTGAAACTGCAAGATATGAATCCTTTTTCCCCATTTCTACAAACGGATTAATTCTGCAAAGCAACGCTAAAAGTTTCTGTCCAAATGCAGCTTACTTGAAGTAGTAAACTGGGCAAAAGAATTTTAATACTGAGCAAATATCAATGAAAACCCTCGGGTTCTTCTGCAACTGTTTACCAAGCGGCAAAGAGGCCTACATTTTTTAAAAACCTCCTAAGTAAGCAGCTATATGAACAGAACAAAACCTTTAAGTCAGCAACAATAGGTTCCTTATCATTGATCTGGGAGAGATTCCAATATTGTTGAGGTGGAATTAAGGAAATTTGTACGTAAACAGCACTGAAAAGGAGGTAAGTCAGCCAGCTCCCCATACACCAGTGGTTCTCAACCTGTGGGTCGGGACCCCATTTGGGGTCGAACGACCATTTCACGGGGGTCGCCAAACAAGGCTGTCCGCCATTTTTCCCCCCTTTTCTTTGGCCACGCCCCTGGCATCCGGTGATGTATAAGTGGTTGGGGGTCACCACAACATGGGGAACTGTATTATGGGGTTGCGGCATTAGAAAGGTTGAGAACCACTGCCATACACTATGAACTCTCCTTGTGTCGAAAGATGGGATTTGATTTCTTCAAGGCCATTACAACTTTGACTTTTGTTATCTACTTCAAATGCCCATGCTTTGTTTAATAAAAGCAAGAAATATCTATGGGTTGCTATGTGTAATTCAGCTTTAACTGATAAATCTTCTTTAAATCCTCACAATAGAATCTTACTAGTTTTGGCTGTCCTTATTGCTTGCAGGGAAAGAGCACATTTTTCCAGAAATGAAAAAAGACTGCAATCTTCAGGTAGGAATAAACTTCGTATCAAAATGGATTAGGGCCAGCAGGCAAAGTCTGAAACCCTGGAATGCTCTTGGGAACAGGCAGTTTCCAGGTTAAAGAAATAGCTTTGTACCCCAGGGGAGAAATAGGAATATTCAGTTTAAAACTGCTCTCAGAATTATGCAACTGTGAAAGTATCAAGATCTTGCAGCGATAAAGAACATTTTTTACCACCTCTGTCTTATATGCAGTATCAATTCCTGAATAAGATTGACTTACCTTTAGTTATTTATTCAGTGGTATCTTAAAATGAGAAAGACCTATAGGTCGTCCTCAACTTACAATCATAACTGGGGCCAGGATTTCCATTGTAACTTGGTACAGCCGTAAAGCGAGGCATCACATGATCGGACCCACTTACACAACCATTTTTATCATGGTCATTAAACAACTCACATAGCCCTCAAGCAATCCAGCTTCCCCAGTTGACATTGCTTGCCCGAAACAGATTGGAAAGATTGCAAATCGTGATCACATGACTACAGAATGCTGCAATAAAATGCAAGTTGGTTTCCAAATGCCTGTATTGTGATGACATGGCACAGGGGTGGTGTGATGGTCATAAGTGCAAGGACAGATCATAAACCACTTTTTCTGAGGCCATCATAACTTTGAACCGTTGTTAAATAAACAGTTGTAAGTCAAGGACTATCTGTAATGCATTTAGTATGGCATCTTTCTGCACAGTCTGGAAGCTGCGGCTAGAGTGAAATGCAGCAGCAATAAGCATTCTTAATCATTTATAAAGCCTTAAACTTCCTCACTTCTTCCTATATATCTTTGACAGGCTGCTGAAATCATTAGGAGCTTTTCTTGCTGGGCAATGTCCCGTGAATTTATGTTTGGCATCAGCAGGAAACGTTTTCTGCTTTGGCACTCATTCTATAGAACAGTCTCTCTTAGAAATAGGCTATGTGCTGGCTTTATTACAATTTAAGCACATGGCGAATTTTAAATTTGCTTTGGCATTTTAGAAAGCCTCTAAAATTGTTCATGGCTACTGGTTTTATTACATTTTATTATTTCTCACTGTACTTTTTATCGTATCTAATATACATTTAACACTGCATGTAAGCTGGAAGTGTTTTGCATGACAGACTGTACATTTTATTCTGAGCAAAATCAAATGAACACTATTAGTATTAAGACTACTAACTTTAAAATACAATAAAGAGGAGATATTTAGTGACTGATTTGAACAACCTTTTTAGTCAGTTGGTTCCAGGTTCCACAACCCATGTCTTATATTGACACAGATGATATCTACCTATCCATTTTTCCTGTGGAAAGTCTCAAGTCTTCAATTCCTCTACATTTCTATTCCTTTCATCATTCCAGTCCCATAATATTCCCTTGTCCCATTGATTGGTGCACTCTTCCCTCACCAGTCTTTCCTGGTTTTAATTCTTTTTCGCAGCATATTTCATCATCACAACTACAACATCAGCACCAGTACCAATTATCCTTTCTGCACCCTAACTCATTATTTACTCACAGAGAGAAATGAAACATAGCTTATCATTCCTTTACCTTTAACGTAACATTCCTTTATCTGTCTTCTTATCCTGCAATCTTGAGAAGGCACAAGACCATACTTGCCACATCCCCAATCTGGTGTCCCGGGCAGCCTCAGGTAATCACCCCCTCCACTCATTCCAATCTCCAGTCGGTTTCCATCCTAAATATTAATATATAAGTACAGATTAGGTGAAATCTGACTCAAAAACAGCAATTATGAGAGGGACCTTGGAGTCTTAGTGGATGATCACTTAAACATTAGCCAGCAGTGTGCGGCAGCAGCCAAAAAAGCTAATAAAATCCTTGGTTGTATAAACAGAGGCATAGAATCAAAATCATGTGAAGTATTAGTACAACTTTATAAATCCTTAGTAAGACCACATCTGGAAGACTGCATCCAGTTCTGGTCACCACATTACAAAAAAGTTGTTGAGACTGGAAAAAGTGCAAAGAAGAGCAACTAAGATGATTAAAAGCCTGGGGACAAAAATGTATGAAGAACAGTTGCAGGAATTGGGTATGGCTAGTCTAGAGAAAAGAAGGACTAGGGGTGACATGATGGCAGTATTCCGGTATCTGAGGGGCTGCCACAAAGAAGAGGGGGTCAACTTATTTTCCAAAGCACCAGAAAGCAAAAGAAGAAACAATGCATGGAAACTAATTAAGAAGAGATGCAACCTGGAATTAAGGAGAAACTTCCTAACAGTGAGAACAATTAACCAGTGGAATAGCTTGCCTTCAGAAATTGTGGGTGCTTCATCAAGGAAGGCTTTTAAGAAGAGACTGGACAGCCACCTGTCTGAAATGATATAGGGTCTCCTGCTTGAGCAGGGATTGGACTAGAAGACCTCCAAGGTCCCTTCCAGCTCTTTCTGACTGATTCTGCTCAGGCCTGGTATGTATCATTTTCTCTCCCAAAATTGTTCACTGAGTTTAACCCTGTGCTCCCAAGAATGGGAACTATAAACTCCTCACTATTCTCCTTTTATATCTGGAAAACAAAGCCATTTCTCCCCAATCTCAAAATTTTCATCTACTGAATCAGGCTGTGGAAACTACCTGGATCTTTGTATATTAAATTAACCTCATAATTAAGTCCTGCACCTTTTCATTGTCACCATTGTCACTGCCAACCACAGTTTTTAATTGACAACGGTAACTAGGCAACCACTTATAATTACACGGATGGTTTAAGGCCTACATCTGAGCAGAAGCAAGAACCTAATTCTGAAGCCCTTCTCATCAGACATTTTGAGTATTTCAAATTTCTGGCTGAATTTGGGCTTTTACAGAGGCATGGCAGGTCTAACTGACAACATTCCCAGACATGCTATACATGCATTTTGCCTGACAGTTTAGATTTGGGGTATGTTTAAACTTTCCACAATATTTCAGCACAAGAATCGTTTTAAGCAACCAAAGCCAAAAATCAAAAAACCAATAATTACTCAATTTTAAAGACCACCTTTCCTCGTTTTTTTCCTCTCCGCAATTATCAATGCTGCCATTTAAAATGATCATATCTGGGATTGACTATTCAATCAGGAATACATGTACTTATATGTTCTGCTTATAGTACACAACTTTGAAACAGTGTAGATCTATGGAACTGGAATGTTTCTCCCACTTGGGAGAACTGTCATATCCAGTGTCATAAATCAAATCTGTATGATTTTCATCTGTAAAATTTGAGTAATATTCAGTAAAAAACCTTCTGCACATACATTAACTCAAACTGAACCAAAATCTCAGTATTCAGAGAATGACATCAGCAGCCCTTCTCTTCATCTAAAGTCGTATTTCGCAACCTACACAACTCTTACATGAGTGCATTAAATTCCTAGAATTCTTAGCAATGGTTATGTAATTTCTGAAACATGCATCTGTGAATCACATGAAACACCTTATATATTTAATAATAGCTAAATAGCTTTTAAAATATTCATGCACCTCATTCTCTTTCTAATATTTCATTTATCTGCCAACTGTTGAGGACTCTGTCCGTTTGTTTGCCTGCTCTGTCTTCTTCAGATTTTTACTGAAAATTACTTTCTGCCCTGTCAAACTAACCCAGGGAGGACAATTTATTAGCAAAAGTAGGGTTTTTATACAGCCCATAACCATGCTTCAGGATCTGTATACAGAAAATGGTCAGTTCTATTGATTAAATGCTAATTCATGAAAATCGTAATTAATGACTGGGAAGTTGGTCATCAACCTTTATTATTCCCAAGCACATTCTCTCTGCAAAAGCAAAGAAATCAGAAAAATATCCATTCTTTAATCAGAAATTCTAACTCCATTTAATCTTCTAAGCATTAAGAGTCTATCTTTCAATTACAAAAAAACCCTCTCCAACATTGAGTAACTACATTGTTGTGCTTTTATTCTCTCCCACTCACTCCCTAACTCAACTTTTCAAACCAGCCAGTGATTCACAGCCAGGCTTATGAAAAGCCAATCAGATAATGGAAGCTAACCTTCAGTGCTATAACATGACCCTCATGATGAAAACATGGGAGAGACATTTCTTGAAAAGGCCTGGGGAGGGGGGAGAAATAGTAAAGATAGAAAGCACTTTTTAAACTTTGCTGATATTTGAACTGTATTATTGAATGAAAGCCAATCAAATGACCTTTATTAACACAATTCATTACTTAGTAAATCTTTTCATACTACATTTACTTCTGAATATTCATGTTGTATGAGTCTAACAAAAGTCTCCCCCAAAATAAGACTGAATCTTACATTAATTTTTGCTCCAAAAGACGTATTAGGGCTTATTTTCCAGTTAGGGATTATATTAGGAAAATATGGTGCTAACTGCGTCCATCTGGCTGATGATCTTAACTGGGGTTTATTTTGGGGTGGGGCTTATATTATGAGCATCCTGAAAAATCATGCTAGGGCTTATTTTCCGGTTGGGTCTTATTTTGGGGTAAACACAGTATATATGTATCTCTGCAAATTTTTATGAAACCAATTCTTTAAACATGTGAAGGAATGTATATAACATGAATATGATTCCTGATTATATACACAGTATACATTGGAAATATAGAATGCAAATGGCATAAGAAATGGAACTAACAATGTGTATTGATAGAATTATATGTCAAGTGCCTAGTATCTTGCTTAATCAAGTAACAAAAAGCATCCCAGTATTCAAATTTTATTGTCAGAAACTTTATATGCATTGTGCTCATAGACGTTGCATAGGGATGATGGCACTTCTTAAAACCACTTGTGAGTTTTTAAAAATAGAACATTGTAAATATGACTGCATGAAATGTATGCAATGAAAATTAAATTACACAGAATTAAAATTCTAATTGATAACTACAGACAATGATAAAAAAGTTTAATGTTTCTACAACTTAGGCCCCAGATAAAATTTATATGATGTCATAATGGCATGTCTGAAAATGAGCTATATCTGTTGTTCAAGGTTTTAAAAAGTCTCATCTAGTATCAATCTCTGCAGCAAAACCCAGATCTGATTGCATGTGAAATAATACGAAGGAGTGCAAGACACGCGTTAGAGAGAAATTTGCAATACAGGTAGTCCTCAACTTGTTTAGTGGTTGTTCAAAGTTACAATGGCTCTGAAAAATGTGACTTATGACCGCTTTTCAGTTACAACATTTGCAGTATCCCCATGGTCAAAATTCAGATGCTTGGCAACTGGTACATATTTATGACCATTATTGTGTCCCGAGATCATGTGATTTCCTTCTGCGACCTTCTGACAAGCAAAGGCAATGGGGGAGCCAGATTCACTTAACAACTGAGTGACTAACTTATCAACTGCAGTGATTTGCTTAACAACTGTGGCAAGAAAGGTCATAAAATGGGGCAAAACTCACCTGACAAATATCTCACTTAACAGAAATTTCGGGCTCAGTTGTGGTCATTAAGTATAGAGAGTCCTCACATAATGGCGGCAATTGGAATTGGAATTGTCATTGCTAAGTGGTGTGGTTTTAAAGTTCAATGTCATTTGAGTTCATAATTAAATTATTAAATGAGGATCCCAGGTTGTTAAGCAAGAACCTCACACTTGGAACTTCCTGCTAGCTTCCCTCAAAGTCAGTGGGGAAGCCAACAAGAAGTCACAAGTCTCTGGCAGCTTACAAGCAAGCAAATGTGTAGGCAAGTAGTATACAGTGAGGTGGGGTAGGGGATGCTGTGGCAGAACTCCTCAGGAGAAAAAGTGGCAGGAGTGTCTTGTAACCTTCTCTGCTAGCTTCCCCATTGACTTAGGGAAAGCCCGCAGGGAAGGTCACAAGGGCAGTCATATAAGCACAGGATGCTTCATCTTTCATAAGCGCAATGCCAAGCACACAGATTATGATCATATGACCTCAGGAATGCTGGGATGGCCAGAACAGGTCGTAAATATCACTTGTTCAGCATTGTCATAACTTCAAACATTCACTGAATAAGTGGTCATTAACTGAGGCCTACCTGGAGCAACTAAAAGTGTATCAACACTGCAGAATAGAAGCAGGTTTGAAAGTCATAACGTTTCAACTGATGACAGGATCTTTTTAATCCTGTATGGATTTGAAAGCAAAGTAAGGTCAGGCCAGGTGAGTATTTTTATGGGAGACCACCAAGACTGTAGGGTAGACTGGGAAATTGAAAAACATTCTGAAAATGCAATAATCTTATATATTATTGCCCAAAAAACCCCCTATCTGGTTGTGTCTTTGTAGTAGCTATGACATGGGCTTGATTCAAGACTGTTTTAACCTTTAACAGTATGCTAAAACACTGCACATAATCCTAGAACAGCGGTTCTCAACCTATGGGTCGCGACCCCATTTGGGGTCGATCGACCATTTTACGGGGGTCGCCAAACAATGCGATCTGCCATTTTCCCCCCTTAGGGGGCGCCGCCGTGCATGCGCGCCGCGCATGGGGGCGCCGCCGTGCATGCGTGCCGCGCATGGGGGCGCTGCCACGCATGCGTGCCGCGCATGGGGGCGCCGCCACGCATGTGCGCCGTGCATGGGGGCGCAGCCACGCATGCGCGCCACGCATGGGGGCACCGCCACACATGAGCGACACGCCACGCATGCGCAGCACGTTTGTGTGACGGGGGTCGCCGTCACACAAACGTTGAGAAAAGCTGTCCTAGTACTATATATTAATAACAATCCTTAAACATTATAATTTATTTTCCCAATTAAGATAAACTGATATTCAAAGCAAACAATGTAAATTGAGAAAAAAATAACATCAGCACCAAAAAGATATTTGCAGTTTTGTTTTGCTTGCTAAGTTACCAAGAGTCTGCAATAATGTTTTCCAGTTCAGTGGTACCCTAGTACTCAACTGCATTGAAATTCATCAAATTTGGTACTCAATGCATTTTGACATGAAAATTTTGTCCCGGTACTTATTGTCTGTTTGGTACTCAACGCACAAGCTAGAACATGTCGATATCCGCTGCCTTGTGACTCACTACATTATTGGAAAAATCTGTTTGGTACTCAACATTTCTGGTACTCATCATGCCTCCCAGAACCAATTAACAGAGTAATGAGGCACCATGGTATAAAAATAAATAAATATGGATATATACATATATTTGTATTTGCAGATCACTTCTATAGATAGTAAAAAACTGATTCTTTCCTCATTATCTTTCTTTTCTTTTCCCAACTCTTTTCCATGCCATTGCTTTTTTTTTGCTGTCCTGGATTTCTCAACTTCTTTAGTTATTTCCAATGTAACTGTTTTCCCTTTGATTAACCTTTCTTTCCCACTTCTGCTTTAAGTCACTATGCTTTCAAACATTTACATTTTTCTTGTACCTCGGATCCTCTACCGGACTTTACCCCCCCCCCCAATCTTTGTTATATTCTTATCAATACATGCATGCCAAGAAGTTCACTTGTTTTCAGAACAGTGCTTTCCCCAGCTTTTCAACATCCATAAGGTCTACTTTTAAAATGGTATTTTACAGAACTATCACAGCTACGTTCCTATTATACCCGATAACTGAGATACACAGCAGCAATATGTAACAGATAAAACAATTGATGTTTTAAAAACTATCCTTTCAACCTAACAATTCTCATTATCTTTGAAACGGACAAAAGGGAACTGGCTTATAAGGAGGTATAGTTCTAATTATAAACATTAATTAGCAACTTTAAAAGATGGATAGTTGACTGAAGCTGGGAAAAACGGTCAGTTTTGTCTAAATCCTCAAAATCCTGCCCACCCAATCTGGCCATACACACAAACTTTCTTTTGACATTTTTTTCTTTATTTCATCTCTTTCTCTTACACTTTTTAATCTGTTTCTCTGGGCTATATTTTCCTCATGTTCCTCATGTTTTTTTACAGGAATCCTAAAAAATATCAGTTACTCTGAACTACTTTATAACAAATAATATTGAAAAATGTGCTGTCATATAAATGATATGAAACGAAACTAAGCTGAAGATGCAAAGTAAAAGAAGAAAGCAAGGTGATCAGATGGGGAAATGGAGCGAAATTCAGAAACTGTATGAGTGTTCTCTTCCAGTATATAAAATTACTGAAATATCAGTATGCATCAGTGTGCATTTTTTAAAAATGATTTACCCACAAGAAAAATAGGTGTACCTGAATATTGCTGTTAATTCTTTATTTCATTCTGATTTCTTTAAGTTACTTATCTATAAATACAAAAACTAAAAAAAAACCCAAAATACAAGAGAAAATAAACATAAATTAAATCAAACTGCCTTCACAAAATGTACCAACTGTCTTTTTAATTAATTATTAAAGATTTATTTATTAATCACTGTTTCATAAAATCATGTTATCTCTTTCCACGTTTTCTGGTACCCTTTTTCCAATGACAAAAGGCTTTCAATCTTCTAAAGGTGCCTTTATGGTTTGTATTGTTTAAAAAAAGCAAAAGTATGTTTTTTAAAAATATGCTTTTTAAATAATGTTTTTATTTTGTATATTAAAGGCAATGGTGGATTTTTCTTTCCCCATCATCTACAACTGATGGTTGTGTGGATTTCTTTCCTAAGTTTTGCTATAAAACATGTGCATGCTTAATATATTTCCTATCATTTTACATAGTTTATTTGGAAATATCTTTACAAGTATATTTATGATAAAAATGGTTGAATCAAAAGTCTACTTGTAACATATAATTTCTTAATTTTTTTCTATAATTTTGTACTGAAAAAATTGATTCCTAATTTTAAGCCCAATAAAAATATTTTACTGACATTCATCATCACTTATCAAAGAAATTTGTAAACAGTCAGACAGGTATACTATACAGACGTCTTCCCAGTTTAAATATATAAAATAAACTGATTGATTTATTCAGTCAATACAACAAGCTATGATTTCTTTACTCATGGTTTATTGAATAAGCTATATTTGTTTCCATAACAAAGGAAACCATAAATAAGTAAACCATTCACTTTCCACTTCTATTATATATCCTACTTTTTTTTCCCAAAAACTACTTCTATATTTCTCATGGAATTTCATGAGCTCTTGCCTATTGCTGTGCTTTCTCAATTTCTCTCAGTGTCAAGTAATTCCAGAACCAGCGTCATTTGGAAGAAAGATCACTGTAATATAGACTTTTTTTAAAATGGCTTTACAGATAGTCCTTCATTTACAACAGTTTGTTTAGTGACCGATCAAAGTTACAACAGCACTGAACAAAGTGACTTATGACTGTTTTTCACACTTACAACTGTTGCAGCATCCCCGTGGTCAGTGACCAAAATTCAAACGCTTGGCAACTGACTCATATTTATGACAGTTGCAGTATCCTGGGGTCATGTGATCACCTTCTGACAAGCAAAGTTAATAAGGAAGTCAGATTCACTTAACAACTGTGTTACTAACACTGCAGTTACTAACTGCAGTGATTCATTTAACAACTGTGGCAACAGTTGTTAAATTTTGGGCTCAGTTGCAGTGGTGAGGACTACCAATATTTGCAAGTATACAAGGACAATATCAATGAAAACAAAGGTATAGATTTGCTTCCACTGAGAAAAACTGAAGAGAGATACTGAATAGTAGCAGCAGCAGTTGAAATAGGAATAGGAGGGCCAGTAGTTGGAAACCCAGAGGCTGGAATGAAATTATCAACTAATTTTTCATTTCCCCTACTGCCTATCCTTTTGCTGCCAAAGTACTGTACTAAGAACTTCATCTGATGAAAGCATTTAGTGGGAGAGGAAATGGACTTGTTTTTTTCTAAACGTTGTAAACTATAAAGCCTTGGCCCTCAGGTTACTGAGCAAGCATTTTCCTGATGTTTAATTCAACAGTAGGCAGCTAGAAGCTGAGGGATGCATTTGCTCCATTTATCCCTTCTTTGCCACCCATTTTTTTCACATCTTGTGGACTTTTTCTTACAAGTATTCCCTCCTCAAAATGGCACAGATGGCAGGCTGATCTTATCAAATCTTGAAAATTAGACAAGGTCAAGTCTAGAATGGGAGATTTCCAGAAAGTCTACCTGCACTGTATATTAGACTAGAAATTTTAAAAGCTAGAAAAAAATAAGACATATGTACTATGGCCAAGAAAACTGAACTCATAATCATGCGCATCCTAACTTTTTGTGGGAAAGTTATGCTTTGTGATTCATGATTTAATATCTAATATATTAAATAATTTCATAAATTTCACACCATCAGAAATGAACTCCTGAACATAATGCAAAGAATGTTCTTCAAAGAGGCAATAGGAAGAATCATGTTTGAAACAGAAATTGTATTTTCTGTAAGCATTTTCCAGACAGTAGTTTAAAAAATGCAGATAATAATGTGTCATTATGAAAAGTTCTGCATAAGTGAATTGTTACATCACAATCAGTTTTAGGAGAGTTATAGACTGATAGTTCCTCTTTAGCTTACTGAAAGAATATGCTGAAACAAAGGAGGAAATGTGTGTGAATAACATTTTCTCCACTACTGCATTTACAGAGAACAAATATTTTGGGGTGGGGCTATTTTAGTAGAAACACATGACTAAAGAGAATAAAAATAAAAATGTTTTCCTTCCTAATTGTGATAGTTTTTAATTATTAAACTACAGTGACCATATATCAATTACTATAAATGGCAGTTGTTTACTTCAGAAAGTTGTCCTTTAGATTTATTTTTCAAAAACTCACCTTTGTCCTTTTTGTCATTTACTTTTCCAGTACAAATGACACCACTTAATGCGGATTTATTACATAAAATCTCTTTAATGCTTACTGTTAACTTCATAGCTTGCTAGAATAAGCATTTTTTGTTAAGTTTTCTTGGTTTTGCTCTTGAATTTTCCTTCAAAGTAAAGATATAAACAATTAAGATTTTTTTTAATCCTCTTTCGGATTTGCCCGTTTTCCAGATTTGTCCTTTTATTTTTTCCAAACTAATATGGTCGCTGTACTCTAAACTTACATTTTCCCTTTAATCCTCCAAGGGGCTTCTTTGATAAAGATGATGCTTGATTAAACCATTTCACAAATTAAAAGGCTGAACATTATAAAGACAAAGATTTAAAAGCCCCTCTATGCATGTCCACTTAAAAGCGTGAGAAGTATGACTGGTCCGCAGACTGCCGTCACCACGGAAATACAGTTATGAGAAATGTCACTGCCCCGGTTTGTAACGATGAGGCAGCTATCTAAGATACCCAGAAACCTAGCAAAGCAGGACGTCGGTCAATCAGGCCAAGCCGCAGAGAGGCTACCCAGGGCGGGGCAAGTTCGTTCCTGGCCGCCGCGACGTCACGTAAAGCTCCGCGGTCCGGAGTGGCGCACCTCCCCAATCACGCCTCGCGCCGTTGCGAGGCGGGGCTTGAGGCTCGGAGGGCGGCCGAAGCCGATGTGCACATGCGCGCGGGGTGGGGGCGGTTTTGTGGTCGGAATCCGGCACGGGAGGTGGCCGAAGTTGCGGTACTTGTGTGAGTCTCGCTCGGCGGCGGCAAAACCGGGGAGTTTCTCCTTCGTCGCCTCTGGTTGGGAGAGCTCCGGAGTGAAGCGATAGCTTGCGTGCCTCTCGCTTTCGCCTCGCACCTGGGCTATGGCTCGTCCGGCATTGCTGGCGGTAGGAGCGTGAAGGTGAGGCCCCGGTTCTCCTCTTTGGTCCTGCTGCTGCCTGACAGGTGCTTCCGCGGAGGCCGTCTTTGGGGCCCCCCAGGAGTACCAGACATTCGCCCACCCGACCTACCTTCCTTTGCCGCCTTTGGGAATCCTATGGTCCCCGAGGTCTGCTTCCAGTTTGGGGGGCCCACAGGTTGCTGCTCTTCTCCCCCCACCCCTCCGGTTGCTGTGCGCGCGAACTTTCATCGGTGTAGGCTGGTTGCTTCCTGCACTCTCTTCCCCCCCCCAGCCCCGCCTTTTCCCTAAGCTGTTTCTTCCTGGCTGCTTGTGTTTGTGTTTTGCTCGCTCGCTCGTTCTTGCTGTCCGTTCCAGAGTAGAGATTGTAGGGGCTCTTTCATGTCCTGATCTTCCCCTTGAATGTTTACTAGTGGTTGTCTTGATACTTCCAAGTGTTAATCTTGCAGTGATTGCCAGATATGTAGGACTCACGTTTTAGGCTGCTTCCTGGGTGTCTGGCACGAACGAGGAGACCAAGTTAGTTTCTGTCTCTCAGGATTCATGGATATAACTCTTTCTATTGCTGCCTTCGCACAATCTATTTCGGTGCGTCCTGCCCTTAATCCTGCCTTACTTCTTTCTGTGACCTACTGGACGTCCTTATGTTTGGCGAATTGGTCTTGTAAAGCTATTAGTCCTAACCTGTTTTTGCAAAAGGAATTACGACCGTACACCAAACAGCTCTGCATACCGCAAGGAATTTTTGTAATTTTTCTGTTGTGAGTTAATATAATCAGTAGCTCTAAGGAAAGTTACCTTAATAAAACAATTGTGCTTAATATTTTATCAGCAACATATTGTCTGGGTTTTAATATTTGTCTTACTAATACATGTTAAACTCCTTTCTCTCTACCTCGTTTTTCTAGCCATTGATAAAATGTATCCCCATGTTCTAAAATATTCTGAATCTTCTTTTTCATTTTCAGTGTCAGTCTGTCCATTTCTGCACAGTCTAAAATTTTCTTAATTATCTCTTCCTCCTCTGGTAATTCTTCATCTTTCCAATGTTGAGCAAATACAATTCTTTCTGCAGTTAACACATGTAACATTAAATATACACATTCCTTCTCATAATTTCCTGCAATTATACCTAACAAAAATAATGCTGGCTTAAAATCTATGTGTTTTTTTATTAAGCACTTGTGACTATAAAAAATGAATAAAATATTGGGGGGGGGGAACAATTGTGAGGAAACTTCAAAGAACATGTGCATTGCCCCTCTAATTGTAGCCTGGTAATTCCAAAAGCTCCAAGTTATTCCCCATTGATTGTGTCAGGACTTAAGAAAATTGAAGCAGTTTAGCCTTTCCTTAATATATGCCTGTGTTGACATAATTGGTAGATGAGTTTTTATCACACATTGATTTCTCATTTTGTCTTGCAAAAAAGAGCAATAGGCGTAATTCTTGCTGCTTTAAGCCAAATTTCCAAAAAGTTTCAGGTCCTAGTAAAGCAGTGGTTCTCAACCTGTGGGTCGGGACCCCATTTGGGGTTGAATGACCATTTCACGGGGGTCGCCAAACAAGGCTGTCTGCCATTTTTTCCCCCTTTTCTTTGGCCACGCCCCTGGCACCCAGTGATATATAAGTGGTTGGGGGTCACCACAACATGGGGAACTGTATTATGGGGTCACGGCATTAGAAAGGTTGAGAACCACTGTAGTAAAGATTTGCATTTAAAGTATTTTGTTTTCCTTGAATTAAAATCTTTCTTTCTATAGAACTTGATAGCATTATTTAAATGAAAAGTGCCTATATTTTATTATTAAAAAAACATATAAGGATAGGCTTATTTGTGGTGATCAAAAGGCTTAGCTTTGTTTCTGTTCACAAAGGATGCTATCTCCAACAAATGTAAATGCAAGAGAGGATAACAGGATAAAGCATTATCTTTTAAATTAAATTTACCTGGAAAAACAATGGATATTTTTAAATAACATATTGTCTGTTGATATTTATTTTTTTTTTAAACTGATTAGTCAGTTAATTATCTGGTGAAATGCTGTTACTGAAGTGAAAGGATAAAGCAGTATTAATATCCATTCTCTATCCAAAAATATTGGGTTAAGTTTAATAGTTAAAAGCTTTTTAATTAAAACACATTATGTTGAAATCTGTATATTTTTAAAAGCCAATGATTTGGAAATAGCAATGCATGTGATTTGTTCCATACCAGTGAGTCAAGAATGTAAACAAATAATGGACTTCAGCCATGTTCTTAATACTCAGATCAAAGTTTCTCATGAAATCTCTCCTATGCATATTCAAGTGCTGCTTCCAAGACAATAGATTTCAGATTTTAAAAAATTGTTCTTTTGCAAATAATGTTAGTAAGACATTATAGTAGTATAGTTAAGGCAATCTTATATATACCTAAAGAAATAAATTACATTGAAATCAGTGGGATATATTTCTGGGCAGACATTCTATTGGCCACAAATACATATGGCCCCCTTTGATTTCAATATGCCATATTATTGATATTTATTTAATTTATATGGTTTCCCATCTCATATGCATGATTCTGATTGGCAAGCAACAGAATAAAAACACTTGAAAAACTAAATTAAGAAAAATATGCTTTACTTTCTTATTAAAATTAGTACTTAGTAATTTATGGATCGTACTGTGATTTGCATTGGTTTTAAAAAATTGTGATTAAAATATGCTGCCATATTTTAACTGGTTTGAATGTTTGGAAAGGTACCTGATTTTTTTATATTAAAATCCAATATACCTTGTTTGCTTTTGCATTCCTGAATTGTTGTTAGACTTTCCTAAGCTAGCTGGAAACGTGGTTTGGCATACTTCTAATCATAAGTTAAATCTAACTCTAGCTCACATTTGGAATATTTTGTCTACTGGGAAATGTTTTTGGAAGAAATTAACTGCTTATGAATAGGAATAGGAATAGGAATAGGAATAGAATAGAATAGAATAGAATAGAATAGAATAGAATAGAATAGAATAGAATAGAATAGAATAGAATAGAATAGTGCTGGAAGGGACCTTGTAGTCCAGGGCTTTTCAACCTTTTCACCCATTGTACCACTTTTAGGATATGGCAATATCCGAGTACCACCAGTCACCTAGCAAGGAGCCAAAAACTTAATGACCAAAAAAGAAAAAAGTGATGAAGTACAGGTAGTCCTTGACTTACAACAGTTTGCTTAGTGACTGTTCGAAGTTACAATGGCACTGAAAAAAGTGCCCCCCAAGCCACAGCCGAGCAAGACACCTGCCTGCCCACCTGGCAGCACTCTTCCTCTTGTCCAAGTTTTTCATTGTGAGCATTTCTGTTGAGGATTGGCCGTGGGGATGGGGTGGGGGGTGTTTGGTTTTTATTCCCCCTGTCTGCTGGGTGGTTGCAACAGGTTTTGATCACTTCACATGACCCTGGGACACTGTGACCATCATAAATATGAATCAGTTGCCAAGCATCTGAATGTAAATCACAAGACCCTGGAGATGCTGCAACATTCCAGCTCATCGGCGCTTCTTCTGGGCTCAGGAGAAGTGCCAGGATCAGCGCCAAGCTCCAGCTGGAGTCTTGTGCTGATTCTGGCGCTTCCGCTGAGCCCTGACAGCCCTGGAGCTCCAGCCATCTCTCACTCAGGTTTGTGCGGTGCTGCCACCGGTTCAGCTCATTCCCCTCCCCTGCTACCACTTTTCTAGGATGATCACTTACCATTTGCCAGGTGCCAATGTACCACAGGTAGTACTCTTACCACTGGTTGAAAAGCCTTGGTGTAAGCCACGTGACGTCGCACAACGTATCGGAACTTTTCCCCATTGCCGGCAATGGGGTGGGCAGTTTGACAGCCCTGGTGTAAGCCATGCACACAGTTTTCAAAATTCTTATTAAGAATAAGCCATGAATGTGAAAATGCAGAGGTCAGAATAAGTAAGACATAGCACACAACTCTTTTACACGAGCAGTGGGTACATGTGCCCATCGGTCATTCAAATGGAGCTGCGCGACACGCTGAACTGAAACTCACACAGAATTATTCCCTCTCCCTCCCCCCACCCGTCTTTAAACCAGAAAGGTTGGGGACTGTGGAGAGAGAGACATACATACATACATACATACATACATACATACATACATACATACATTATACTATTTCCTTGCATATTCATCCATAATATACAAAGAGGAGAAAAAGTATAGGAGATAGTAAGTAAAAGAAATTAGTAGCAGACAGAGATAAGGAAATCTAATAAAATCTAATCTACCTTATAATGATTGTTCTTGCAACCCATATTTACATACAGCATGTCCATCTCAAATCATGGGTTTGGCTTTCTTTAATCTTCTTTTATCTTTCTTTCTGAGAATCTTATACATGTCATCCATCCATATCTTTTTTGATGTTCTGCTTTTCAATCCATTCATATATTTTGATCTATATACATAATCCTTGAGTTATGACCATAATGGAGCCTGCCCATTATAGTCCTAAGTCGTAATGGTTGTAAAACTGATTTTAAGACATTTTTGCAGCAGTCGTTAAGTGAATGCAGCAGTTGTAAATGTGAATATTAAGCAAACGCAATGGTCATAAGTGCAAACTTATTTACTTTTTACTTGTTAAAAGCCAGAAGTGCCAGTTTTCAGAAAAACCTTTGTAAAACATAGTCACATCATAAGGAATGTTGCAAATAGCTGTAAATGTAGCCATGTTGCTGAGTGCCTGAAGTGTGGTCATGTGACTGCAAGGACTATATGACCATGAGGACTTTGGATCCAGGTTGTAAGTTTTCAGATAGGTTGTAACTTTGAGTGGTTGCTAAGTAACTGGTCATAAGTTGAGTACTACTTGTAATTTGATTCTAATTCATTCTGTCTATATGATCAAAGTACCTGAATTTTTTCTGCTGATCAGAAATTTATATTAAATTTATTGTCAACTCTACAAACGAACATGGCTACAGCCATTTTTTCTTCTCATTCTAGG